CCCCCCCCGGGTTTGCATCGACCAACAACCCTCTCGAATAGTTCAATAAGAAACTCCAGGGCGACTACACTTTACGGCAGAAGTTAAAAATGGGAACTTTTTTGCAACAATTAGTTTCGTGTTGCCACAACGAGTCTAGCACGTTCAATTTTAAGACGCAAGTGGAAATCCCAAAGACGTTAAAGGTACGAGCCAATGAATTGGCAAAGCAGAACATCCTACTGGAGGTTTTGTCTGATATCCACGACCATGCAGCAACCAACTGTCGCCAGATTTTCTCGTTCCCTACCCCGAAAATGGTTGAGCATCGCGTAACAAAACTGTGGAAGTGATTGCAGTGTATGCTCAAATGGGTACAAACTACGCACGTATGGAGCGTGAGGGGCAGCCGCAATGAGGTTGGAAGGTGGATCTCAATCAACGCAGCTGTGATTGCAACTATTTCTTTAAGTTTGCTTGCTGCATCCATCTCCTGCACGCCTTGAAATTGTCTGGTGCAGCTAAGCCAGTTGGGAGAGCCACATTGGTCTATCGTGGCACGTCCAAGAAACGGCAACGAGAATTCGAGCCAACTGAGCCTCATGTACCTGTTGGAAGACCGCGCAGCAATGGTTTTGCACTTGAGGTGCTGCTCACGGACGCTTGGACAGGTAGAACCGTGTGGGTAGCTGTAATCAGCGCTTCATACGTCAAGGTAACTTGGCAATGTACGCATTTTCAATTTGGAACTGCTCATGTTGCAGGTTGAAGTTATTGTGCTTGCTACGGCACTCCCGACCAGGCCACTACGTTTAGTTTAACACCGAAGCACGGAAGCTGTTCATTTTGCAATACAAAGTCTGTTTTGGCTCTGCTCACGCTTAATTAATGCTTTAATGCTACCTGAGTATCATCAACAGTATTGCAACGTGGGGCTCTTGAGCCTGCATACACGACTTTTGGTCCTAGCTGCGGCAGTTTGGAGCGCCACACACGCAGTCAAACCATGGGTCCACGTAGTCGACAGTCACCTCTTCTTCCTCTTCAATCGTGCGCTTGGTCACCACCATCACCACAACGTTCGCGCGGTTGCGCATCTCCACAAAGTGACATGCTGCATCGCACGAGTGGTTCATCATTCGCGTCATACCGCCACACGTTGTCGCGTTAATGTACACTTTCTCGTTCCTGGTGCTTCTTAGCTGCAGCTCCAACGCGTAATCACTGGTCTGCTCCTTGTCTGCCGCAAAGTCGTGGGTTGTTAGCACCCCAGTGTAGTTTCCGATAATGGACCCGGCATGAACTGTTGCAGTTGCTTTGACTCCGATCCCAGTTCCCTTGCAAACCGCCAGCTTCAAATCCTTACACTCGAAGAGGCTATTCGAGCAGTTTCCGTTACGGTTACAGTTGGCTTTCGTGCATTAGTAGCTGGTGTCGGCATTAAGACACTCGTCTCTGAAGCAGTCAAAAGCGCATTTGCACTTGTCAGTAGGGCCAGTGTCGGGAAATCTGATCTTCTCTGGGTTTCGTGACACATTCACTTTGTCGACATTGGCTGACCAGAGGTCATCACCATCTCCGTCGATAACAATAACCTCAGGCTCACGAGGGATTGTTTCACGACGAAGCACGGCCTGGCGCTGCGCAGAAAGCGCCTCACGAACTCCTGGCAGCCGCAGGAAGCTGTTCATGAACATCGCCTTCATTTTGCCGACGTTGTACACGTTGGTGGATGGTGCGGACGGGCTTCTTGCGCCCCACGTACTGCTTCTTCCGCGAGCTTCTATTCCAGGAATTGTTTTTCTTGCGCTTTTTTCTTGTCCTCGCGCTGCTTGTACGTCTGAATGCTCTTGGCAGCCGTGACTGCCTCCGCCACGAGCTCCTTCTTCCCAGTCACATCCGGTCCCTCCTTCTCACCCCGCCCTCGGCTGTGCACGGCAGTCTTCCGCCCCACAGTCTCCCCCATGGTGCTCGACCTGCTTCTCCGCGGATTTTTAAATGAGCCCTCTGACCTGGCATATGTCATCTCCGTCGCCAGTGACTGCCACCCACACCAAACCCTACCATCGCTATCACTGATAGCACCGACAATGTTCCTGTCCCTCACAGCGGACAGACTGCATTTTCTCCGATATTCAGATTTGGCTGTCCAGTTTTTATATTTTCTCGTGTACCACCACCCACAAAAAATGACGGGACCACACACACAAGAAAAGGACATCACCATCGCCCTCAAATACAAAACCACCAAAATAGCACTTTAACGGCACCAGCGCATTGAGCTTCGTAATACCTACATGCTTGAAGGTCTTGGTGTTGGTGTCGGTCGCGACGTTGGCAATTACGTGCTGGAACACAATAACAGTAAGCTCTTGAAGTTGGACAGCAAGCGTTAAGAGATGTTGGCTGTAGTTTCCAGCGACTTTGTTTGCCAGTTGACGCTGAACTACGCACGGGCTTTAAGGTCCCGTTTAAACAACTTGATGTGAAAGAGGTCCCGTACTGATGCAACCCGCCGCAGAACTTCATGCGCTCGTTTCTATTCCCTCACTTTGCTGTCATCAACTTTACGACCTTCTGAAGATTGCAGAGCCGATTGGTGGTGACTGAGGGCTAGAAGCTGCTTGTAATGCATAGAGAACTTTGTTCATATCTGCTGGACAGTGTCCTTTGAACTTCTTGTTGATATCTTTCAATATGTGTCTGATGTAGAATCGAATATTGATCAGACCGAGGGTGTCAAAAGTTGCCAGGATGTCCGTTCCTCTGTCCGAAGAAATGTCCTATTTCATTGAGTACGACTCCTGCCTTCTTGCAGCAACGCAGTAACCGCACACAGTCTTCTTCAGACTCTGAAGCACAGATAGCAATTCCGAGGGTTATGTTGGAGAAATTGCCATCTCTTCCAACCAAAATCAATCGGGTACTCTTGAATTTACCATGCTTAATGAAAGCACCATCAATTCCCACGACGTTTTGGCCGTAGCGGTTATACTCACGAGCATACGGGAAGCCTACAAATGCACGTCTGAAACGTCCATCACCATCCCAATCACACTATGTGATCGATGTGGGGTTCTTCTCCGACCACAGAGAAAGAAGAGAACGAAGTTTGCGAAAACCGTGTCAATGCTACCAAAAATGCCATCTAGTTTGAGTTGTTTGCCGCTATACGCTTCCTTCAAAGATATGACAGCCCCCGTTAGAGACTTTACTTGATTCACGATTGTTTTACCACTCAGGTTTGGATCGGACGAAACTAGCGCACAAAAGGACTCCATTTTCCAGAGGTGAGATGCTGCAATGCGAGAGCGTTAACTACACATATTGTGCGCTAACTTGTATGTACTGATTCGGTATCCATTGCGACTATCGGATTGCGATCGACAGGCAGTGGTCTCAAAGCTGCAGCGGTCACCTCCTAAGGCACTTGTACCGCAGAAATGCGCTACCATCAGCACTTGGACCCAAATAGACAGTTTTCCCAAATTTCACCGCCAACGCCTTGATTGCTTTTGTGCAGTCTCTCTTTGTACCAAACCACTGTCTTTCGTAGATCGACAGAGGTTTTGACTGAACATCGCTCTCTTGATCAGCCATAGCAGTACCAAGTTCGCCAAGCAGCTATGCCCGCAATACCTCGCCGCCAAGCCCAGTATGATAGTTAGCAGCTGAAGGTAGCTGTTAGTCGTTACGAACCCCCCCCCCCCCTTGTCAACCTCCCCCTGGAGCTACTACGGGGGTGGAGATGTTGCGTCTGCCTGACGACAACATGGGCCAACAAACCTCCAGCTCCAGCTTTTCCACAGACCCGAGCCTCTACGTCTATGAGAGCAATGCTCCTGCACATGCGTCGCCCATCTCCTCTTCAAGCAACTTGCCGATTTTGGCGGCGGCAAGGTGCATATTTTCCTTCATTGTCTTCGAGCCTGTAGGTCTTCGACACGACATTGCGCGCGTGAGCGGGTCATCTACCTCACAGGGCGGAAGGTTGCGTGCCACAACCCAGCGTAGCCAGCGGTACAAATGGTCCACCGCCTTTGAGACGAAACCAAAGGACTCTATCGTCCCGTTCTCCGCATGGCGAGATGTAGCCATCTCAGTCAAGAAGTCTGGGTGCTTGGTGCCCAAGTGGGAGACAAGGTTGGAGTAGCCGGTAGCCGGGGCCCGCTTGCGAGCTCCATTGCAGATCTTGCGGGTGTAGCGATAGTCGGTTCCCTCATCAAAGAAGAAGGCACAGATTTCAGCGCTCGTGGGCATCGTGGTGCTGGCGGGTTGCAGGAGGGCTAGTGTTGGGTTGCTGGAAAGCTAGAAAATAGCAAAGTGAGCTGGCAAAGGTGTTGGAAACGATGCCGCAGACGATAAGAGCAAAAATGTACGATAATTGGTCCTGGTGGACTCCAGTTCTTTGACTTTACTTTGCTATGCTCTTATTATTTGTATTTTAAGGTACTTATTGGGTATTATTGCCCAATTTTTGTATTTATGTTTTGCAATGCGTCAATATTAAATACTGGTCCCACTATTGTACGTATTATTACCCAAAAAGTTATTTTTCCCGATCTCCGCCCCGATGAAATTGTAGTCGTGGGGGCTGACTCTCAACAAAATGAAAATCTCTTTGTCGGCAACTTGTCACATGTGCCCAGCGAATTTACGTTTCTGCGCACACCACACAAACCTCTTTCAGAAAATATATACCTGGTCAAACCGATAGATGGGCTCGTTTAACAAAATGCAAAATACAATGTGTTCTTTTAAGATACATTATTCATAAAAAAAATGTATGTCAGATTGTATTATTCGGGAAAAACGATTCTCTTACCTTGTACGTGCAGTGCGCGGCTTGCAAAGAGTCTGGCGGCCCGCCTACGCAAAGCGCGGATTCGCTATGGCTGCGCGCGCGAGCACGCACTCGCTCACCTTAGTTGGCCATATTAAAATAATAATCAATATTGAAAACATTTTGGGTATTTTGGGCAGGTTAGTTCATAAAAACCATTTGAAGCACCAGTTGTACGCACTAGGGTAGTTAAACAATACACCACAACTTCACAGTCCTCCCAGCTTAAAGCGAAGCATTCTAGTTTACATGTGCGATAACTTGGCAAGGATTCCCATGATTATTTGCTATCTCATAGAATGTCGAGCACAAACAATAATAAACGAACAGCTCTGCAATGGATCCCTTCAGAATGAAGGCAGCCATTGCATAGCAGTTCGTTGGTTGCGAATCTTGACCTGTGAGTCAAACCGTGTCGACTTCGGCGTCGATAAATGAAAAACGCTCTCGGTTAGAGCGAAGTGTTAATACTTTCCCGACAAAAAAAGTATCCCTCAGCCGGCAGCGCAGCCGAGTCCTCTCTCCGAGAGAGCCTCAGAGGCTGACGGGAAGACGACCAGAGGATGTTGTGACGTCCTGCTGGTTTCACTAGCAGTTGCTTGTCCATAGCGCTCCTCACCGGGTGCAGCACTGCAGAGCTTCTGCCGCGAGAATGAAGTGGGCGGTATGTGATCCGCGAGGATATGCGTATCATCTCGCTTCTTGTCCGCTGAGAATCTCCATCCTCTACGGCTTGTGCATAGCAAGCTCCAAGGCTCTGCTGTCGTTCCCCGGCAAGGTGGCAGGCTTGCACACAACCACGCGTTTCGCGTGGCCGGCTGAGGACGCGAGCTTTGGTGTCGGCGGTGGACAGGCCATTTGGCAAAAGCCACTTCAATTTGCGCCATTTGTTCTGAGCTTCAACCCGCGAGCTAACGAAGATCGGAGCCGCCAACAAGATGGTGTTGTCACTGGTGGCATTGCAGCGCATTTTGCTGCAAAGAGAGAGAGAGTTCTCGAGTTTCATTGCCGCACAAAGTTTACGAGCGTCGGAACTTCGGCAGTATGTTGCAAAAATGAAGTACTAGGGATGAGTACGTCGGAACATTGCGAGTTCTCAGCAGGTCGCTGTCCATTTGGCGTGTCTGCCCGACATTGGCGAAACAGACAGATGATGCAGGCTGGAGACAGTCTGCCTGGTTGCAGTGCAAGTTCGTACACATGAAGCAGCATTTTTTCGCTGCTGGTGAATTATTTGTGTAGTCAGTAACATGCGAAGTTCTTGCTGAGTGCAGTGATAGTTTATATGTTCGCATAGAGGAAAAAAAAAAACTTGGTTGATACGAAAGCAACTGCAGACACCACCGACCACCAGAGACACTACATGTACTCGTCTACACCGTCGTAGACTCTCCTTAAGGGCATCTGCTCATCATGTCTTGCAAGGAGGAGCGCTGTTGATGTAGTACTTCTGCATCCTCTGCCCCGATCTGAATACGATGGATAACCTGAAAAATGGGCAAAAAGTTTGTGGTACTGTCATGTCATGTCGGTTTATGGCGCGTTGAAGTTTTCAGTGGTGACTTGTTGCCTTTTCTGTGCCAGCACACAGCCGCTCGAGGCGAGCAAGCGATATGATCGACCATTGTGTCCGTATCCAGGCCATAGCTCCTGGGCATTGCCCTTCTCGACGAGCGATTCTCTTGGCCATTTGCCCATGGCGCTCTCTGGCTCATTTCCAATTCGGACACAAGCAGCGCACACGGCACACCCTCCTAAGCTCCATTGCACGAGTCGCTGGTGTTTTGCATCATCCCCATGAAGGTTTTGCTACAAGTGGCCGCAGCGCTTTCGACGCTGTCGCTGGCAGCAGCAGCCAAGCCCGTCGAGCACGCACTGGACACCACTTTAGGTGGCAACAACGACAGCATACCAGCGGTCAAGGACGCCAAGTGGTATTGGGAAAACGACCACCATTTCACCTCCGAGAACCTCGATTTCTTTGAGAACTTCGTGCCCCACGACGAGAACCAAACGTGTTCTAGCGACAGACATGCTACTCCATTCAACAAGCAAGTCCGCGGTGCCAACCTCGGCGGCTGGCTGGTACTAGAGCCGTGGATCACTCCTACGCTCTTCTACCAGTTCTTGAGCACGCAGGAGCGCTTTGGCGACAAGGCTCCCGAGAAGACGGCGATGGATATGTACACCTTCTGCACGGCACTGGGCAAGGAAGAAGCCAACCGCCAACTCCGTATTCACTGGGCTACATGGGTGACCGAGGCCGACCTGAAAGAGATGGCAGAAGCCGGCGTCAACTCGCTCCGTGTGCCAGTGGGCGACTGGATGTTCAACCCGTACGAGCCCTACATTGGCTGCACGGATGGTGCCGTCAATGAACTCGATCGCGTCGCCAATCTCGCCTACAAGTACAACATCGACTTGTTGCTGGACATCCACGGCCTCATCGGCTCACAAAATGGCTTTGACAATAGCGGGATGTCCTCGTCTGTCAAGTGGACATCGATTGCCAGCACTCGTCCAATTGGTACCACCACATTCGAGCACTGGCCGCTACGCTCGGCTGGATGGGCTGGCGAGTTTGATCCTGCCACGAACACGTACAAGTCTATTAACTATGAGCATCTGAACCACTCCCTTGCAACCGTGGCGGTCATCGTCGACCGGTACGCTAACCACCCGGCCATCATCGGTCTGGAGCCCGTCAATGAGCCGTGGGAACTCACGCCAATTGACCTACTTAAAGACTACTATTGGAAGTCGTACAAGCGCGTTAAGGCTCGTGCGCCGCATTGGAAGTTTGTGCTACACGACTCGTTCCGATTCGGCGTCCAGTACTGGTCGCAGTTCATGCGTGGTTGCCCGGATATCGCACTGGATACCCACATTTACCAGGCTTGGAACGCCCCCGGTACACGCTCAGATTACTTTTCTAATGCTTGCCAGCAAAAGTACATGATTGCCGATATGGAGAATGCCATGATGCCTGTTATCGTGGGCGAGTGGTCCCTCGGCACGGACAACTGCGCTATGTGGCTCAATGGTTTCAATGACAACCTGCCTGGTTTCCCTAATATCCAATGCCGCATGACACAGTGCCCCGTGCACAGTACCTATCTCGGTCAGGGCTTCCCGGGTACCCCCTTAGACATTACCAGGCCGATCCAGGGTCCATACGGCACGGGTCAATCCGGCCCCTCGTTCGGCAAGTGTCCGATCACCAGCAACACGTCGTTTGGCCAGCAAGATGACTACGACGAGCGTGAATTTACGCGCAATCTGAACATGAAGAAACTGAACGCGTTCGCGGTGGGTCACGGTTGGTACTTCTGGAACTTCAAGACGGAGTTTGGCTCTCGCTGGAGCTTCCTGGATCTGGTTCGCAAGGGCGCGTTCCCAAAGAATGTATCGAGCTATCGCGCCGACGAAGAAGTGTTCACGGCCTGTTTGGCAGAGGACAAGGGCGCGTTCGTCTGTGCGGCTAAGCGCGGCGTACACCGTTCCGACCTTGCGAGCGGCCTGGATTTCGCTTGCGGCGGCAACGACGGCAAGGTGGACTGCACTGGCATCGACAAGCGCTTCAACACAATCGAGGAGCGCTGCGACTGGGCATTCAATCAGTATTGGCACGCCCACCGCGAGGAAGGCGCTACGTGCGACTTTGGCGGCGCGGCACATCTGCTGGCCATCCCAAATCCGTCTAGCGTCGAGCGTCAGGAGTTCCAGGTCACGTCGGTTAGCAAGGAGATCCTCATCTGGACCCTCGTGTGCATCGCCGTGGGCTTTACGGGACTGGCTGTCGTCGTTGCCGTCGCGCGTCGCCGGAGGCGGCAGGAATACTCGCCCTTGATCGGACACGTTGTGCACGTTTAGGCCTCGTGATGACATTGTAGAACACCCGTTAAATAAGAAACATGATCAGCATTTTGCACGTGAAATGCGATGGCGGGAAGCGAATCGCGCCGAAGGAATTGCCGCCCCTTCAGAATATAGAATACCGCTGGAATCATGCCTGGCAATACAGGTTGCGGCGCGTTGATCGACGCCTGATGCGTAGAGAATTCTAGGCGAAAGCCGCAACACGGGAATCACTGGTTTGGCATGTGAACGGGGCTCATGATGGACGCCATTGCTCAGTGGCAATTTGCTGGGTGCGATGCCGCTTAACACATCACATTCGTAGCCTTGGCGCTGATGCGTTATTTAAACTCCTCACGTGGAGGTTTGATCGAGCAAGTATGGCTTTCAACAAGAACATAATGGAGACGCTCCAGTGAAATGAAGATCTTGAAGACGCTGGACAATTGCAACGATCTTGTTTTTTTTTGCCAAGTTGGTTGATGGCGCCAGCAATCGATCACTATCGAATGTGTCGCATGGATAGATTCGGGCCCAAAGTTCGGACAAACACTACGCAAGTATCCTTCTCTTTTTTTTGACCCGTTTGCCTCGGCGTCTGCAGCGCACGCCAGCCACCACTCACCATCTATGAGCACCGCTGTGGCCCGTAGCGAGACCCAGGAGCATGGTCATCGTGTCAGCGCGTAAGCGTATTCTTCACCTTTGCAACTAGCAATTTGTCGCCAGCTTCGGATACCATTTGGTTGGCAGCCACACATGTACTTCAACACGGAAGATCGCAATGTGGCAGGCTATTATGTAATTTATCGTATCCTAGTCTTATTTTCTCAGGGTCCTCCCATACAAATCAAACTGAAAAGCATGGCTATTTTTGCAATTTCCGACCATCGTATCTTCGTTAAAGGGTGCAGTCGAATCAGGAAAAGATCCTTCTCATTTCCGCATTTGCTCCGTGGTGCGCAGTTGGGTTTTCTCTCCGGTTGGACTCCAAAGGAAGAATGTTGGTCGGGTCGCGCTTGAAGACAGCGGCGGCGCTGTGCGCGCTGCTGGCCGTGGCTCTGCAGCCGAGCGTCTCCAGCGCGGGCGTGGAGCCCAATTTCCGACAGTCCATCGTCTCCATGGACGTGCCCGAGGGCGGGGAGGACTCTCATGACGATCCCACGGACGCTCCGCCCGCGCCTCCCGCTCCCGAGGCGCCTACGGACGCGCCGACACCTAAGCCGAAGTCTGATTCGGGTCCGCACGACACTGAAGACCGGCCAGACTACGAGTGGTACTGGAAGCACGGCGAGGCCTCCATGTTCGCGCAGGACAGCGGCATCTTCAAGTCGTTCACGCCTAATGACACGGACATGACCTGCTCGTTGGACACGCACGCCACGCCCTTCAACAGCCAGGTGCGCGGTGTCAACCTGGGCGGCTGGCTCGTCCTGGAGCCGTGGATCACGCCCACGCTCTTCTACCAGTTCCTCAACACCCAGCAGAGATTTGGTGACAAGGCTCCGGAGAAGACGGCGATGGACATGTACACGTTCTGCACGGCGCTTGGCAAGGAGGAAGCTAACCGCCAGTTGCGTATCCACTACGACAACTGGGTCACGGAGAAGGATATTGCTGAGCTTGCGGCTGCAGGCATCAACTCGCTGCGTGTGCCGGTCGGTGACTGGATGTTCAACCCTTACGAGCCGTTCGCTGGCTGCACTGACGGCGCTGTGGACGCGCTGGACCGCGTGGCGGACTTGGCCCTCAAGTACGGTCTTGAGATCCTTCTGGATATCCACGGCTTGATCGGCTCGCAGAACGGCTTCGACAACAGTGGCAAGTCGTCAAATGTCAAGTGGACGTCCATTGCCAGTACGCAGCCTGTGGGCACCACTACGTTCGAGCACTGGCCTATCCGTCAAGCTGAATGGGCTGGTACTTTTGACGTGGAGAACCACAACTACTCGAGCATCAACTACGCCAATCTGAACCACTCCATTGTAGCTGTAGAAGCTATCATCAACCGCTACAAGGATAACAAGGCCATCATGGGTCTGGAGCCTGTGAACGAGCCGTGGGAGCTCACCCCTATTAAGGTGTTGAAGCAGTATTACTGGAAGTCATACAAGCGCGTGAAGGTTCTTGCTCCTTCGTGGAAGTTCGTCATCCACGACTCGTTCCGCTTCGGTCTGCAGTTCTGGGCCAAGTTCCTCAAGGGCTGCCCCGATATCGCTCTAGATACGCACATCTACCAGGCCTGGAACCCTCCTGGAACCGTTGCAGACTTCTTCTCCAACGCCTGTCAGCAGAAATATGTCATCAGTGACATGGAGAACGCCATGATGCCTGTTATTGTCGGTGAGTGGTCTGTTGGCACGGACAACTGCGCCATGTGGCTGAACGGCTTCAACGACAACCTGCCGGGCTTCCCCAAGGTGCAATGCCACATGATTGACTGCCCCATCAACAGTACGTACCTCGGTGACGGCTTCCCCGGCACTCCGTTGGACAAGACCAAGCCGATCCAGGGCCCGTACGGCACGGGTATGTCGGGTCCGTCCTTTGGCAAATGCCCCATTACCAGTAAGGATTCTTTCAACCAAGACGACGACGCTGCGTTGACCAAGTCGCTGACTCTGAAGAAGTTGAATGGCTTTGCCAATGGCCACGGCTGGTACTTCTGGAACTTCAAGACGGAGTTTGCTACCAAGTGGAGCTTCCTGGACCTGGTGCGTCTCGGTGCGTTCCCCAAGAACGTGTCGGACTACCACGAGAGCGATGGAGTGGAGAGAGCGTGCATGAAGGAAGACAGAGGAGAGTTTGTCTGCCGTGCCAAGCGCGGAGTCAAGGAGTTCGAGCTCAAGAGCGGCCTCGCGTTTGCTTGCAACTTCCCGGAGATCGACTGCTCGGACATTAAGACGCGGTTCCTCACCCTGGAGGAGCAGTGCGACTGGGCTTTCAACGAGTACTGGCACCTCAACCGCCAGAAGGGCGCGACCTGCGATTTCGGTGGCGCCGGTCATCTCCTGACTGAGCCGGGTGCTGCCCCCACGAAGCTTCCTGAGCCTGTGCCTGTCCCGCTCCACAAGGTCAAGGAGGAGAAGCCAGGCCACTTGCTCGTGTCGGTGGCCAAGTGGAGCATCGCTGCTATCCTGGGCGTCATTGCGCTCGCTCTGGCGGCGATTGCCGGTGCGATCTTTGCAGTCGTCCGCTGGCGCCAGACCCGTATGCGCCGCCACTACTCGCCTATTGGCGGCAACCGCGCTTAAGTAAACCCAACTTATCATTGGTGTTCATGACAGTGACACGAAGTGAACAAGCGCTGGAACGAGAGTAGCAAGTGTAGGGAAAGCGTAAGATTGCTACTGGTAACGTCAATTAAAGTTGAAAATTATCAACTGTACAAACGTTTTGTGTCACTTCTTTTTGCAGTATTTTGAAATTAATTTTCAATTTTAAGTTTTAAGATGGTACAACAGGCGACACGCTGCCTGCGGTTCGTGGACGTCTCTGCGTGGGATTCGACCTCCGAAGAATGGCGTCGGCTGCTGCTGCAGCTCCCGGATCACGAGCAGAAGCAGGTGATGCGCTTCATGTTCGCGAAAGACCAGAAGTTGGCGCTCGCTAGCCGCTTGCTGCAGCGACAGCTCATCCACGAACTGTTCGGAGTGAAATACGATACAATTGCCATTGCACGCACGCCCGAGGTGCGCTCCTTCCTGTGCGATAACACATTGGACAGTTTGGCTTACACGCCTGCTATTGACAGAATAAACCGTATTGGAATCGACTGGGAAACCTTGCTCCCATATCGTGGAACTACAATGTCTCGCATCACGGCACCGTCGTGGCAATTGCCAGTGATTCTCGTGCTCTAGTAGGTGTAGACGTCGTCCGACTAACAGATCGGCCCCATCGCAAGACGTCAATCGGGGAATTCTTCCGAGCTTTTGCAGATCACTTCAACCCAGGAGAGTGGGAATATATCCGCGGAGCAACAGACGAAGACGGTCGATACACCCGATTCTACAGACTATGGTCACTCAAGGAAGCGTACATTAAAGCTGTGGGAATTGGACTGGGGTTCTCGCTACTACGAGCCGAGTTCGTTTGCGTGAATTTAACTGGAGATAACCATTGGGAGCTACGTTTGGATGGAACGCTGTCGAGTGACTGGCATTTCACGTCCACGCAGATTGATGCTGCGCATTTGGTTAGCGTTGCGTATGGACCGTTCTCGGCGATGTGGAAGCCCGAGACAAGTTCTCTATTTCACGGTGATATTTCTCAGTACGGGAGTGATACTACTAGCACTGAGGAGATTGCAACATGGCAAGAATGGAGACTGCAGGATTTGCTGCGGTAAACACAGAGTACCGCTCTTGGCAACCCAGTTACAAGTGTGCTGTATGAAAGTTAAAGCTCCATCAGGTTGCCACTGCATTGGCGGCAACGCGACATTGAATTCAATGCATCATCGTTCTCCTCATAACGAACGCTGCATGGCCAAAGTTCTGCTTTATGGAGTCGGGAACAGCATTTTGCGCACCGTGGGCTTGAGGTCGTAGTAGATTTGGTCCAGACGGGTGTCCAGGGTGTTGTCACACACGATCTTGCCCTGTTTGGCGTACAACACGACGCCACCAGCCTTGGAGTCCGGCAGCATGCCATCCGCTGCCTTGTTGAGCGTCACCTTGACTTTGCTAACGTCCAGGTTGGCCTCCTTCTTCATAGTGGCAATGTACTTGTCCGTGGCCTCCTTGAGCACCATCTCGGCCAGACGCACGTCCTTTGCACGCACAGCGACCACTACGTCGGTCTCGAACAGCTTGATCAGACCCTGCACGATGAGGTCACGCAGCAGCGCCTTGTTCTTCTCGTCGGCGGTCGTGTAGTTCCTCAACTGGGCCTGACCCTCCACAATGAGCGTCTTCAGGAGCTCGTCACGCGCAATCATCTTCTGTCGTCGTGAGGCACCGATCTCAGCCGAGCGAGCACTAGTAAAACAGCAAGCACAAGTCAGTAATCGCTATCGGATGGCAAAAAAAAAAAAAAAGCTCAGCTCCCTTACATGCGCTTGTTGATTTCGCGCTCCTTCTCCTTGCGCGTGTATTCCTCCTGGATCTTGATTTTGGCGTTGTGCACCAGCATTTGCTTCTCCAAGTTGAAGTCATGCTCCGTCTGGAATAAATTTTACGGATAATGAGCAACGACTTTCCCCTCACAGTGTGTATTAATTGTGCTTGAGTCTCAGACACGCAGAGGGATCTCTTTTCTTTTACCTTAATGCGGATCTCGTTGGCCTTCTCCTGCGCCTCCTGCAGGATGAAGTTGACCATCTGTTTGATCTGGCGGTCGGCGTCGGACGCGTTCATCGTTGCTCACGTGTTTTCTTAAGCTCTACACACACAGGCGAGTGGCAAGTCGCTCTTCCGCTGCTTTTGGCTTTGAAGACGAAGAGATCTTCTTCACTTCGCACTTAACTGAAAATACAAGTATTGACCAATAGAAAGTTTTTTTTTTAGCTGACAAAAATTGACGCAATTTGTAAATTGCCCAAATTGTCACTTGTGGCCAAGGAACATGTTGCGCATCAAGCTGACCCAAGTGCTTGCTGCCGCTCGCCGTAGCTCGAGACTACAGACACTACGTGCGCTGTCCACGAACCCAGACGTAGACGACAAGGCGTTCCTTAAGAGTATCTCCCAGGATCAGGCTAAGCGCGCGTTGGAGCGCAGTGCCGCCATCCGCGCCGACCACATCTCGGCAAAGGGCGATTTCCCGGCAAGCAGTCAGGGCGACCACCAGGTGGATTCGGACGAGGCAAACCGCAAGCGCATCATCTACCGCAGTAAGCAGCGTGGCTGGCTGGAAGTGGACCTACTATTGGGCCGTTGGGCCAGCCAGAACGTCATGCAACTCACGAGCGACGAGCTGCAGCAGTACGAAGACATTCTGAACGAGGAGACCATCGACATTTTCAACTACATCTCCGGCAAGAGCGCTGTCCCGCAAAGACTGGACACGCCCATGATGAAGAGACTGCAAGAGTACTGCCTCACGTCGCCACTTGGCAAGGCCTCGATCGAGGGCTTCGCGGAGAACAAAAAGTTCATGAGCAATTAATCAGAGCAAAGACACAAGAGTGTATTGGGTCTCCTTATCTATCGTAAATGATACGACGGTTTACTAGACGAGATTTACCTCACTAACTTCGTTCTTACTGCGTCTAAGCAGGACAGCAACGATAGAAGGACAAATTGTAGAATGCCATCGCTAGGCAGACCAAAAGCTGACGGGATTCTTGTGGTAGCAACAACCGACTCTCTTGGTACCGCACGAGTAAACGGAGAATAAGGTGGAATGGGACTGGCAACTTCATGTCCCGATACAGCACATTTTTGTCGTTGGTAGCAGGTACAACGAAGCCAAAGCCTACCAAAGTGTACTCACTTCCATTGTAGAAATCTCCTCGTTTCGTAGCGTTCACAACTTCCTGATACAGCGGATTCGCAGCTCGAGTTTGTTTGTAGGAGGCAATCGACTGATCTAAAGTCTCCATTTGCCTCTCCATCACAGCAATTAGTTGGACCAGTTCGCTTTCTTCGAAGTTGTCGAGCATCGGAATGCTGTGATTAAATTCCATGGAGATTTTAGTATCGTGGTTTGTATCTGCATAGTACGACACCACCTCGTCCAGAATGGGTACGCGTTCATTCACGTGCTTTTCGAACACGTGAAGAGGGGTTGGATCTTCACTTATTGACATGTTAACTGTGCCCAGCACTGCGTCAGCAAACTCGTCCACGTCGAGGTCGTGGCTAGAGTACCAAACGGTGGAAGGGCCTTGCAATCCGTGATTAAGCGCTCGTCGTTCGGCTTCAAAGGCATCTTCGGTCATATCCTGCAGTGCATTCAGACGTACTGCTCGCTTTAGTGTTGGATCCACGTTCACGTCAGCAAGTGTTTGGAACAATGACAACGTTGTCAATGACGGAGTATACACAGTCACTCCGGACTGCATCAGACACGGTTGATCAACTAAACAATTAACAGCCGAAGCATTTGCGCCGTCAACCATCCACTTGTCAACCGATGGGTACGAGTAGAAGTGAGTGAGTGCGGCATAAACTCCACTTCTTGTTGAAAAATCTGCCTCGCTACTCACATTATTCCCGCCACCAACCTCTGGTAAAGCTGTAGGTATTCCAGCTTCATTCAAGCTCCCCGCACTTTTTGTATTAGCACCGGTATCGTTGATTGAAGCGCCCAGGAGAAAGTCTGACAGCGATGGAAAGTCCGAGTGCGGTGAACTTGAGCGGATTGTGAGCCGAGGTATGCCGGTATCAAAGTAAAAATCCTGCAGTTGCATTTGAATTTGCTCAAGTGCTTCGACGTCTTGTGCACTCATTGCAGATTTATCACCAGAATTGCTGTGATTTGCCTGAATACTGCCGTTTGCTGCTCGCAGTGCGAGTTCTCGTGAAGGTTTGGTACTCTCGGGTTCAACACAACTCGATGAACAGGTATCAGATCTCGATTCGCCGCCAGAGTCGGTGTTTAATTTTTCATCGCCTGTTCTGAGCGATTCAAGAAGCTGTGACGCTATTGCTCTCGTCTCGCTAATTCGTGGAGACCACAGCCATGGATAGCTGTCGGCTGGGAATGTTGGAAGTGGTAAATTATCATCGCGGGTGTAATATTCGTCCGAATAACCTTCATACGGCGCAAAAGCTGCAGTATAGCGCGCATACAGCACAGATCGCTTGCTCTCTCCATCATACACATACGACAATGTCGTGTTTGGTCGAGATTCCTCATCTTCTGCAGCTTCAATCGCATCAATCGGCACTGTGAGATTGAATTCCTTTATCATTTCGCTGGCGTTCATCATCTTCAGACGCTGCGCGAACATCTCGTCTTCAAAATATCCAACATAATGACTTTGAATGAGGTTCCAAGCAACTCGACCAAGAGATTTTACAAGAGGGAGCGCCAAATTGTCCGTGAGAAACATTCCAATTGCTTTGTTGCGACGGCGACGCACGTTGCCAGACCGCACAGACTTTCCGTAGTCCATAGGAGACACCAGATTGTACATTAGCAGTCGCGGTATATCTTTCTTCAGAGTGCGACGACCTTCAGTTGAGAGTACCCACTTGGAGATCCACGGGGTTTTGGCTTCGACTGCATCACGATACCCCGCGAAGGTGCTGGAGTTTGAGGCGTTGTTCGCCACAACTTTCCCGTCTGGAAGGCGAGTCCATTGCGGATGGTACTTGTACGGTTGGTCCTCGACCCAGTAATCGGTAGCATTCAATCGAGTATCCTTTGGCGTTGCGTAACTTGTGCTGGTGACTGCAACTAGCACGATAGAAAGCAGCAGCATCGTGAGAACTACGCTTTTCCTTATGATGCCAATGTTGCCACTTCTGAATGAAACGAGCTTCTTCATTTGTCTAAAACTCCTCTCAAACGAGTTCAGCAGCTTGCGGAATGCAAGAAACAATCAGAAACAAGTCTACCTTTCTCGCAGTGAGAAATACGGATTCTTTGTGTCAGCGACTTTACTTGTCATCGTGTCCATCTACACGACTAGGCTGGAGGGCAATAGAAATGGACAGCAACGGACTGACTATCGGAAGATTCGGGCACCCAGCAGGTGACTTCGTCTTCGCTGGACAGCTTGGCGATGCAAGTCGGACTAATACTACTAGTGGATCTTGTTCGTTGCTAATGTTTGACTTCGAATCAACCCAATTATCTCTGTTCTAGGTAGAACTCTACCAACAGTAGGCTAAGTACCGCCAGCAGCAGCAAATACTACTACTTGTACTAGTAGTTTAAAACCAAACTGTGCATTTACTAATAATGGGCAACAGCGGGATGTGTTCATATTACGGCTTTACGTGTTTTGGCAACAGACCACCAAGTAGACACGGGAATTGAGACTATTGTGGGATGGGTGTCCGAGCAATGACTGCCTTAGGCACGGGCAATCGAACCTTATACATGGCTTACTAGAGCCTTCGTTTGAGGGAGCATCTTGATTTACTCCGTCTTCTTCTGGCACGTGCTTTTAGTACTCGATTGGAGCACACACTTGAGATCCGAGGAGTTGCAGGTGACGGACCACGGGCCGTTGACGCCCTTGCCGCCGCACTGGTCGTTGAGTCCTGGGCTCTTCTTCATGCAGAATCCGGTGTGTCTATCAGACTTCTGGCAGAATGCAGTAGCTTCGCACTTGACGGCCTTGTTCTCCCACTCGCACTGTTGGCCAGTACTGGCCAACTCGGTCAGGATATGCACACGCAGGTGCGTGGAGGCGTCGGCGGCTTGGATCGCAAAGCACAGGACAGCAGTGACAAAAAGAGAGAGCTTCATGGCGCGGAGATCTTTGTCAGCTTGGGAGAAGATTCAAGAATGACTGGAGCGCGAGGAGGATCGCATGCCAATGCTCGCAACGATCCTTTGGACAAGATCGCACTGATTTATTTGGGTAGAGAGTTGCAGTGTTCGCACCTGCCTTCTTGATAAGCAAAAGATCTGTCACAACCACTTCAACGAATATTAATTTATTATTGTGCTATTTATCGGTACTAGCGGGGTGTTCTAGGCGCGCTATTGGTGTGTGATATTTCCAAGCAGGGCACCATTGAGAATGTGGAGCGCTGGCTGAAGGAGCTGCGGATGTCACCTCGGCCAATATGTTGATTGGAAACAACCGTGATTTGCGTCAAATTATGGTATCGACGGTTGAGTCATTGGTTTCCGCGGAGCCTTTTTTAGGCTGCTTGGCATCCAGCGCGACGGAGTAGATAAAGTGGTGAACGTGAATCAAGGAACGACCCACGCATCTTAATGCCATTGAGCTACTTAAAGTATGTGTGAAACGGTCAGTTTCGTAGCCCCGGTCAGTTTCGTAGCCCCGGTCAGTTTAGAGCCGCCAATAAAGTTGAGGTGCTCTTTTATTCACTTTTGGGTGTATATGATACCTATAAATTCAGTTTTGGTGTCTGGGGTACACTTAAATTAGCTTTGGGAACCCATAATTTATGGGTCACAAAGAACGGAGCTATTGAAGTGATTGGACAAAAACATTAGCAAAGGGATGAAACTTCAGAGAGGGTACAAGACAAAGTGAAAGACCTGTCGACACAACTTGTGGTTACATGCTCAACATGTTGTGTCGACAGGGCTTAAGATGTTAAGGCGTTGCGCAGGAAGTAAATCAGTTGAGAATTTTACAGGTAGTGCTTCGATACGAGGTGAACGTACGGCCCAACTGGGATTAATTCATGTCCGTGTGTTGTGTCTTACACACAGTTTCATGCAATACAAAAATCAAGTGAATATATTTATATTTTGTCACTTTCTCATGGATTTTCACGAGGTATCGAGCTGCGGAGGGAAAACCATACATGATTGAATTGACTTAGAAAATAAATTTCTGCGTTCTACCTATCTGATGTGTTTGTACAAGTTGTTTGTTGTATGCACCTGACCCGTTTTATTACTGGTGTTACCCTAGTTGTCGTTTTCGCTACATTAATTAATCCGGTTCGACCCCGCTTTCATACTCTTACGCTACACCGCTTCATTAGTTTACGTACATACTAGGCAATAAAACGACAACTGACGCAAAGCTACACTACTTCGATGCGTTAACGGCTGTGCATATCCTTGGGTATGTCATCTCACGTCGCTTTCCTCCTCGACTGGTGCGTAGTATTGCAGCCTGCAATGCAGGTTCATATCGCGCTCAATCCATCATTCTCCTATTCGTACTACTGATAGGTAAAATGTAGGAGAATTAAGTCCGGCCAGTTCGGAGCCGCAGCAGCAGCAGCGGTTCCCTTGGAGGGTGGCGTGGCTACCGCGGTTACCAAAAACAGCCGAACTGAGCCAACACCTTAGAACAAGTCTGATGGAAGGTTCCAGACAAGATTGTCCATCTTTCAAAGTAGGCAACTAAAAAATGTTTTTATCAGTGTAAGTCGCAGACGATATACTTGATCATACAGTGGTTTTACTCAGCACTACCAGCACAAATCCCCTCTAGTTAACCCCTAGAATAGACAGCTTTTCTTAAAGAAAATACTTATTAAGTAATAGCTTTCTTGAGGCCATGATGGCCATTGTAATTCTAATGAAATCCATCAAAATGTCCGATTGTAAAAAAAAGCTTTTCCATAAATTTTTACAAATTTCTAAAAATCCTTAGCCATTTCTGATGCGGCGATAGGGATGCAAAAATATATTTCAATGAAAATTAAAAAGAATGAAGTAAATGACGGATATATTACCGAAATTGTGGCTAAATGACACAAAATATGGCATGCGTGCCATAAACAATGAGCATAGTGAAATCAAGAGAAGCGACAGCCACCCGATTTACTCTCCGTCGGGTCTCCTGCACTGCGCTCGTGCGTCGGTAGCCGCTCGTGCTCACTCTTCATCCTCAGCTTGCTGTGTTGTCCGAGATGCTGCCGCTCGCTGTTTCACTCCGCCGCTTGGCCGGCCGCTCGGCCGCAATGGCCTTGCGTCGCGCTACGCCAACGGCGTCCCGCTCCTCTATGCGCGTGTTCGCGGCCGTGCCAGGCCACGCATCGGCTGCCTGGTACTCTTCGGCGCCGCTGGACTTTGGCACGGACGGAGCTGCCGCCTTGGAGTTGGAGGATGGCGAAGAGGTCGTGCTGGAGCCGCTGCAGGGCTTTGTGGACCAGAAACCCATCGAGGACTTTGATCTATCGCAGGAGACGCAGAGTAACTTGCACCGCGCCGGCGTGACGCACCTGTTCCCGGTGCAGACGCAGTCGTTCGACGTGATGATGAAGGGCGCGGACATCATGGGCCGCTCCAAGACTGGCTCGGGCAAGACGCTGGCCTTCGCACTGCCTATCATCGAGACTATTTTGGCCAACCGCAAGAACACGCGCAACCCACAGGCGCTCGTGCTGTTGCCCACGCGCGAGTTGGCGCAGCAGGTGCACGACGAAGTACGGCGCGTGGCCCCGCAGCTACGCACGGTCAATGTTGTGGGCGGTGTGTCCTACACTGTCCAGGAGAACCACCTGCGTCGCGGCGTGGATATTCTTGTCGGTACGCCCGGCCGCATCATGGACCTGGTGGACAAGGGATCGCTGTCCCTTGATGACGTCGACGTGTCTGTCCTGGACGAGGCCGACATGATGCTCAAGTTCGGCTTCCAGGAGGCTGTGGAGACCATTCTGGGCTGGGTGCCCGAAGGCGGCCAGACCGTCATGTGGTCGGCCACCTTCCCCAAGTGGGTCAGCTCGATGGCCAGCAAGTTCCTTAAGGACCCAGTGAACATTGATCTTGTGGGCGACAATGATAACCAGGTGCCGGCCACCGTGGCCCACAAGGCCATCAATGCGCCCATGCGCGACCGTATCCAGGTGCTCGAGAACGTGCTGCGTCTGCACGCACACGACGGTCAGACACTGGTGTTCACTGAGACGAAGCAGGAAGCGGACGAGATTGCCAACTCGCTGCCTGGCCAGGACGCGCGTGCGCTGCACGGCGATCTGTCGCAGGGTATGCGTACGTCCACGATGAACGGCTTCCGCAGCGGCCACGTCAAGACGCTAGTGTGCACGGACATTGCTGCGCGTGGCCTGGACATTGCCAACGTGGAGCTCGTGGTACAGTACCGTCTTCCCAGCGACAAGGAGAGCTTCGTACACCGTGCTGGACGTACCGGCCGTGCTGGCCGCTCGGGCACCAACATCGTGTTCTTCGACCGCAACGACACGAGCGACGTGCTGGACTTTGAGCGCCGCTACAAGTTCAAGTTCACGCATGCAGCCCCGCCTCGCCCCGAGCAGATGATGACTGGAGCACTCGAGGATGTGAACAAGCAGCTTACATCATTGCCGAAGGCGAACGCGCAGCTGTTCGATGAAGCTGCTCAGGCCATGATTGAGGAACAGGGACCGGGTGTGCTGAGCGCTGCGCTTGCGCTTCTGTGCGGCTTCGACTCGAAGAAGCTGACGTCGCTTTCGATGCTGACGGGCCGCTACCGTACGCAGACGGTGGAGGTGGAAGGTGTGCAGAACGCGCGTGAGCTCAACCGTCTGCTGTCGACCTTCATGGACGACCGTGTGGACATCTACCCGGTGGAAGGAGGCAAGCTTGTGTTTGACATCCCGCAGGGCAAACTGGAGGATCTACAGGCGCACCTGTCCGCTACGGCCGATGACGAAGTGACGGTGACTGCCGCTGTGGAATTCCCACGCCTGCTGATCGACAGAGCCGGCCGCAACAACAACAACGGTGGCCGCTTCGGCCAGCGTGGCGGCCGCAACAACTCGCGCGGCTTCTCTAACAACCGCTTCAACAACAACAGACGCGACGGTGGTAACAACCGCTTCGGAGGCAACAAGGGCGGCAACAATTGGAGACGCAACGACCGTCGTAACAGCGGCCGCGACTTTGACTCGTCTTTCTCCAAGGGCCGTTCCTCGAACCGCAACAACTTCGGCCGCTTCACCGACGGGTGGTAAGGTAAAGCAAGCCGATGCATTTAGGGAATGACTGTATTTTAGATAGTGAGAACCACAGCTAGACATGCCCAGAGGCAGCCAGCATTCGGTTGTGATTTTGATTTGACAGAGCAACGGATATTCAGCCAAATGACAACCAAAACAACTTCAACTTCAGATTACGTGCACCACATGTAATTGGTGTGTTGTACATCACATATTTAACCCAGCATTTCAAACCACACGTCACACATCTCAACTGGAGTAAGATGCACGCACTTGCGCGTGTCTGTCGCTCCCGTGCGCCACGGGCCATTGCTACGTCTGGCTTGGCCCAAGTGTCTTTCTTCTCCTCTTCATCCTCTGGGTCCATTGCCACCACTGCCGGATCGGTCTCAGATGTGGCCGAGTTGTCGAACCAGCACGGCCATGTCAAGGCCAGACTCGACTTCAAGAAGCTCGTGGAGAATGTAGACGCGGCCATCGAGAACGGAAAGAAACGCTGCAGTGACGGTAACCCACAGCTCGTGGCCGACCTCTATCAACGTCAGGCCAAGCTGCGTCACAATGTTAATCTGCTGCGTGCCGAGCGCAACACACATGCTAAGCAACTCGGCCAGGCAGCCGCTGCCAAGAAGAAACAAGGCAAAGAGGCGGAGCAGGCCTTCGAGGCGTTGCGACTTCGTGGCCAAGAGCTCAAACGCGAGATTGCGGACGTCGAGGCTGAGCTAGGCCAGGTGTCGGCCGAGCTGGAGCTTGAAGCGCTCAAGATCCCCAATGATACCCACCCGGATGTGCCTGTGGGCGGCGAAGAGGAATCCCGCGTTATCATGAAGCATGGAGAGAAGCCCGTGTTTAACTTTAAGCCCAAGGATCATTATGACTTGGCCACAGACTTGGAATTGTTGGACACCCAGACCGCTGCGAAGGTGGCTGGGTCCAAATTTACGTACTTGTGTAATGAAGGTGCAATGATGGAGATCGCGCTGGTGCACTGGACGCTAAGCAAGCTGCGAGCTCGTGGATTTAAGGTCATGTTCCCGCCCGATGTGGCCCACTACAAACTCGTGGAAGGCTGTGGCTTCCAACCGCGTGGAGAGGCCACACAGATCTACTCCATTGCCAACTCGGACTTGTGTCTGACCGCTACGTCGGAGATTACGCTCGCTGCGGCCAAGAGTAACGAGATCCTGTCGACGCCTACACTGCCACTTAAGTACGCAGGCTTCAGCCACTGCTTCCGCACGGAGATTGGCCACGGTGGCCGCCTGACGCGCGGGATCTACCGCATCCACCAGTTCAGCAAGGTGGAGATGTTCGCCTTCTGTGCGAACGAGACACAAGCCCAGGAGTTCTTCGACGAGATGGTAGAGATCCAGACGAGCATGTACGCCGAGTTGGGCCTGCACTATGAGCTCATGGACATGGCCACGGGAGATCTGGGGGCACCCGCCTACCGTAAGTTCGATCTGTTGGCGTGGATGCCTGGCCGCGAGGAGTACGGCGAGGTCTCCAGTATGTCTATATGCACGGACTACCAGGCCCGTCGTCTCAACATTCGCCACAAGGACCCGAAGGCCGAGGAGACGGGAACGTCGTTCGTGCATACGCTCAACGGCACTGCCTGTGCCGTCCCTCGTCTGCTTATCAGTCTGTGGGAGACGTACCAGCAAGAAGACGGCTCTATCGTTATCCCCGAGGTGCTCAGGCCGTACATGGGTGGCCAGGAAGTCATTCGCCGCTCAGAGTAAGGAGCAAGACACATTACAGAGAAGTCGAGCTGCCAAATAGACCCCATGTGATGCTGTATAGCTGTTTGTCGTCGCTGGTTTGGCGTCTGTATTATCTATTGTAATGTGGGGTTCACGTCGTGTCTGACGCTTTATGTCGGGCTCTCCCGTGCCCGCACGTAGTAGGAGCCGTCAACGCAGTCGCGGATATCGAACGATTCGAAGCGGCTGCTGGCTGTGAGCACGTATACCTGCGTGGCCGTGGCGGCCGTGATAATGCCCGACATCACACACTCATCCTGACTTCTTTCGTCATTTCCAGCCACTGATTCTGTCCGCTGGCGTTTGAACACCTCCACTTCCTGTCCCTCCTGTAACATGCGCGGGTTTAAGTGCAATCTGGGCCGTCGGTTCTTCGCTGCCGTACTGCGTGATGGTGTCGCAGATGCAGGTAAGTTCGGCCCTGATGCGTGTGGTATCCTCCGCGGAGTGATGATCATGGGTCTCCGTCGCTTTGGCTTCTTAGACTGGTGCCTCTTGTGTTTCTTAGCAGGCTTGGCCACTGGAGCCTCCACATTGCAGGGGACAGCACTTCGAATCGCCTCCAGGTCTTCAGCAATCTCTTTGGGTGTCACCTGCTTGTTGGCTGGCTTGAAGACGGACGCGCGGCCCAGCAGTCGCTCTAGCCGCTTTTTCTCCTGGAACTGAACCCTGTGCGCTCTCTCCTCGGGCGAGGCCGAGGCCAAGAACACGTCTTCCGGTCCGTCGACGTCTCCGTCATTGGTGCGTCGCCTCCTCATGCCGTTGGCCGAATTCTTGGCCGGCGTGGAGAAGCCTCCGCGGGTTTCGTCCCGCACGGCCCGGCGACGGCGACTGGTCACGCTCACGCCGTCCTTGGCCGTCTGCAGTCTGCGTAGCTCCCTGTCAATATCGGCACTCATCTCTCTCTGGAGCTCGGCGCAGCGGCGGGCGTACGTCTCTCGGGCCTTCTTGTCCGCGTACTCACAGACTCTTTGAGCCGCCGTGTGCCGCCGTTTTAAGGCCGCATGGGCCTTGGCCACATGCTCCCGAAGCGTGGCCCGTAGCAGTTCACAACTTAGCACGAAATCGGTCGCTGTCTCGAGCTGTAGCCGGCGTTCTACTTCGTCTAATCGCGCCAGTTCATGCTCCAGACTCTCCCGATCTCTGGGTAGTGCATCCTCGCCGAAGTTGTCGTCGCTTTCGTCGAATTCCTCGCGATCTAGTGCGTCTTCGTTTTGGCCATTTGCACAGCTACTAGAAGAGATCATAACAGAGTTAATGAGCCTATTACCAGGCGCTGAATCGCCCTGTGAGACACAGGCCGCCACATCCATCTCCACGATGTGACCCACGTGCGTAAAATTCGGAAATGATGATAAGATGGCGCGAACTGGGCGGAAAAGGATCAAAAGTTGGTACTTTTCTCGCAATTATGGGTGCCCGACGGTCTAGCCGCGACGCTGGCGCGCGACGCGCTCGAAGCAGGCCCGCAGCTTCTGGAACTCCTTCTCACAGGCCTGGCGATTCACACCACCGTGGATGTCGGCCACGCACTTGCCGTACACTTGGACCTATCGGCATGCAAGAGAAAAACAATTGTCAATAATTGATAAATGTGGCCAAGAATGACACGTCCCGAAATCCTTAGACAGAGCAACAACTACAGACGTACATCCAGCGGACACTCGGTCAGCATCTGCGAGAAGAGCTTGCTCATACGCACAGGTGTCTTCTTGGACGTAGAGCTTCCTGCAGGCATCGTATACGGTCCGTCCCTGGTCTCTTCTAAGCCGAAAATGCACTTTAAAAAATGAGTTCAAATCGCCAAGTGGGCAAAGGCGCAATATGCTGGAAGGTGTTGGCAACTTGTACGCGTTGCTTGTTCTTATATTGTTTTTTTTCTTAAGCAGTTTAGTCAAAAACGAGCGGTATGTGGATATATTGGCGACATACGTTGCATGTCAAGTCTTCGATCGTCCTGCTGCTCCGTGTCGTCCCTTTGATTGGCAATTTATCCATGGAACTCGGAATCACTGTCGCTCTCGTCACTGGACGGATACTGCGCTACATGTAGCGTGGGTGCAGTTGCAGTGGCCGGCGCTTGCGTCGCTTCTGTACTTGCTTCACTCTCCTTCGCTTCAGCGGAAGCACTCGGCTTCTCTTCAACAGCGGCCTCAGTAGTACTAACTGTTGGCTTCTCTTCATCATCATCATGCCGCTCGTTCTCAATAGAAGCCTCTACAGCCTCTACAGCGTCGGCCACTGCTTCGACAGCAATCTCTTGTGGTGGTGGAGGACCATCACTCACGTTACCATCACTCTCTTCTTCGATCTGCTGTGTTGGCTCCTGTAGCTGTTGGATGATACTCTTCGTACTGGACTTCAAGACCTTGCGAATAGCATTCAGCACCTGCTTGCCGTCGATAGCCGTCTCTTCTTCAAACAAGTCCTGGAAGCGGAAGAACATCTCGTTCACCGCTTCTTTAAACAGCGCCACCAGTCTTTCACGTTCCTCTGCGCCTCCTCCAGTGTGTGCGGCCACGGCCAGCATATCCTGCGCCTCGCGCTTGATCGTCTCTGCAGCGGCCAGTGCACGCTCGGCCGCTTGCTCACGCTCCTTGACGACAGCACAGTTCTCGCATTCTCCAGACGACACACGGCCAGACACCAGCACCTGTTCGTACTTCTCCTGTTCCAGATCTTTAACCTGTTGCTGCAATAACTCGATCTGTTCCACATAGATACGCTTCTCTTCAGCGGCCACCTCCGTCGTCTCCGAACTCGCAGGCTTCGACTCCAGCGCCGTCTCCAGCTCACGAACGCGTGCCGAGGACACGTCCAGTTTGCCGGTCAAGTCCTGGTTCTCTCTCTGCAGTTGAGCCACCTGTTGTGCAGCGATTTCTAGCTGCTTGGCGTCTCTCTCCGTCGTCTCACTCTGCGCTGTCAACTGCTTCGTCTGCTCCTCCGCATAGGCTTGAAGACGCAGTCGATCGTCGTTCACTTGCTGCAGTTGTGTCTGAAGAGAACGCACTTGTTGCTCCAATTGGGCCGTCGCAGTCGAGAGCTCCGACGTCTTGACCTGTAGAGCCACATCGTGCTGCTTCTTGGTCAACGCCAGCTCCTGCTCAGCCAGAGAACGGGCCTGTGTCTCCTTGGCCAGCTGCTTTTCCGCTCGAGAACGGGCTTCACGCTCGAAATTCAGCGCTTGTTTGTGCTCCTCTGCGTCGTTACTGGCTCCGTGTTGCTGCAGTTGATAGTACGCCGTCAATAGCTGTTGATACTCGGCATGCAGACGGTTCGTCTGCGTCACTGCAGCGTCCCGGGCACTGGCCAGAGCGCTCAACTCCGACGCAGCATTCAACTGAGAGCTGGCGGCCGACTGGTATCGCTCTTGTAGCGACCGCTTCTCATCCTGAAGACGCTGGTTTTGCTCCAACAGCTCCTCACATCGCTTCTCGTACGATGATTGCTGTTGGTGCTGCGAGTTAATCTGAGTCAGAAGCCTGTCATTCTCGTTAGCTAGTCGCTCGACGCCACGGATAACAGCAGCCACGTCGCTGGGGCCGGCACCGATACCAGAGCCAGAATTCGATGTCCCCGGAGCCATCCGGATCAGATAATCCACTTTGGCGTTCAGTTCCGACAGCATCGCGTCCATGGGACGTCCGCTTAGAGAATTATTGTTAAAAATCGATGAAGAAGTCGGAAAGCTGCTGTTTAACCCGAAGCCCATAGATCCAAACCCACTTCCAGTGGCACTCATGCGTTCACGCTCAAGAGCACGCGCTTGGAGCTCCAATTGTTGCTCTCGTTGTAGCAAACGCAGCTCCTTGAGCTCCATGTCGTTCTTAGACGCAGCGTCTTCTTCGTACGGTACGAGATCTCCATTCCTGGCTTCGTTTCTAACGCTGTTAGACCGGGAGGCCGCGTTGTTAGCGGAACTGGGACTGGAACGTCGTCGCGATGCCTTCTTCTCTGATGATGAAGCTTTAGGTGCTTCCTCCGTCGCTGCAGATGTGTTTACAGCTGGTGCAGACTTCCGTTGAGTGGCATTATGGCCTGTCTTGGTTTTAAACAGCTCAATCTCTAGAAGATACCAGTCCTGTCCGTTAGTCTTGCCTGGTGGGGCCAATACGATCCGTTTACCACCTTTTCTCATCCCCACAATACCCTCTTCTAGTGCTTTAATACGTTCACTACCGTCTCCAAGCCGAATTTTACGTAAGTCACCCTCACTGGCCTTCTCGAACGGCGCGTACTTGGTCACCACGTCGGCCGGGGCCGAATTGGCGTTGCCCACGACTCTCCATGCACTGAATGCAACAGCGACGGTGTCTCCGTTGCTTACTTGTTGAGTCTCGGGCTTTACGAACACCAGGTCGTCCTGAATCAGTGCACTCGGGTTCGACTTGGTCACGGTCTTGTCACTGCCCCAGATCTCGACGTGGATCTTGGCCAGAAACACTTGCCTCATGAACTCGGCCACCTGAGCATCGCTGGGGAATTTGACCGACCAATTAGCCCCCTGTTCGTCGTAAAAGTTGACGTAACTCTTTGCTTGAAGTGTGGGTTTAAAGGTCCCGAACTTGATGGGCACAGCGCACAAATGCTGCTTGGATGCGTTGTAGAAGAGGAGATTGTAGGCCGTCTCGGCCCCCACGATGACACAGCCCACAGCTGCTTTAGAACCGGCCGTGCTGCCCCCAAGTTGTACGTACTTGCGGGCCGTGGCGTCATATTGATACAGCGAGACCATGGTGGAGTACACGACGGCCGAGGCAGTCGAGGAGACGGCTGCCGGGGGTGTTGTTTGCTGCGGCTGCTGCTGCTTATGCGATGGCTCTCGAGGTGCAGTGTAGCGTAGTGCATCGTTGCCGCCACCGGAGGCCGATACGTCCTGGAAGATGCCGTTCAGGCGGGCACTCGGGTTCGAAGACATTTGCGGCGCGTGTACGGGAAGTTAAACGATGCGAGGAGGCTGGCCGGGATCAAGAGATGAAGGGGGGATGGCTGGCGGATGGCCACAAAGCGAGACGATGCAGGGAGCAGCACACACACACACGGAATGACACGCTGCTTTCTCTCTGCTTACGCCTGATAAATGTGACGACGATGCAACCCAAATATGGAGTGTCACACGTAGGTGGCGGTGTATTGGATTGATGAATGTACCCAAATAATTGATGTATTCTGCCTGGACCCGGATTACGGGCTCATTCTAATTCTGCGGGATCGGGATCGGAACAAGTTGAAGCGGCCAACACAAAATAATAATGTGTCTGACGTCGTGCGAATTGTGGACTTAAGTTGTTTGTCCTCGCGAATCGAGTTGTTGCATGCATTGGATATCGTTAAGCGAGAGGGCAAGTGATACGCAGAAATTTGAGCTGGGTCTCTGTTTCGCGAAGCATCGTCAATTTAAAAACACACGAACTTTGTATTGCTAACCGGTTCTCGGGTACAGCAAAAGCACACCGACAGAGAAAAAGAATACGGGAGCTCGACCTAAGTTTGAGAGGAGAGTTCATGGCTTAGCCATGGCAACGACACGGAAACGATGGCTGGATTATTTAAATATCCCGCACAAGTGTATAAGAAGTGTATAAGCGAACGAACCGTCACACACTCGTCACATCTCGACATACAAAAAAAAAAAAAAAAAATATTCGCGGATACGAAAGGCTCACTTGCTCGCGTAGATGCTCCCTGTACGGGATCCTGTTAATACCTCAAGCCAGAACACGGGGACAGCAGCGGCGCAAAAAAAAAATAAATCAAGAGGCGATAGAAAACAAAAGAGACAAACCTGATACTCTATTTTACTGAATAGCTGACCTCACGCTTTCGAGTGCAGGCCTCTCGGTATGAGCCTGAACGCATGTAGTGGCGCGCAACACAACGGCGTCATAACCCTCCGCCCTCCCATGGCCAGTCGCCCTCTTACCGAATTCGGTTAAAAACGCCGAGGACTCACGGCTTCGGGCTCCTTGATATTATTGACCCAGTAGTAGCGCCGCTTGTACTGATCTTTAATCATTCGCATTCGATCGCTAGCAGAAAACAAATGATCTTCAGGAATCTTGAACACTTGGGTAAGAACACTCACTGGATCGTATTCTTTTAAAATCCATTCCTGAAACATCATATGCCGGTATCGGGAGGCCGCCTCGGACGTTCGTAAGGAATCCTTTGCCCGCGAAATCATAAGGGCAAGCTGATCTTCGCCCTTGAAGCCCTCTCGAAGCGTAGCGTATAAAGTCGTTTTGTTCTCGGGATTCTTTGAATTAAAGAGATTGATATATAGCTTCAACGTTTCCATCTTTCGGCTTATCAACGATAATATGTCATCGTCTTTGATCTTCAATAGGTTGAAGACGTCCACAGCGGACTTCTGGCTGTTAAGCCAACCCTCCAACTGTTGGGTTTGTAACTTCGTTGCAATGTCCTTTGAGCTTGGAGCTTGCTTTGCAGTTACGAGTCCTTTGGCTATGGCAATTTCTCCGTATCGTGCGGTGAGCGTCCCAAGCAACGACTCCGCTCTGTTCGGGTACTTCGTGCTGACCATGTCCAAGTATTTGCTCAAAACCTCTAACTTTGGGCTGGCAAGAGCGCTATCCACGTCTCCGTTAAGCTTGAGCTTCGCTAAAGCATCAGCTGCAGACTTTTTCTGGAATAGCCAAAACTTCAACTTCTCTCCCTCGATGAATTTCAAATGTGCTTGACTTTATCGAATCTGTCATCTTGCTCAAAACGTTAATTGCCCTCTCTTCACTATTCACTTCAGTTGTTGAATGAAACCTTAACAGCCTTTCCGGATTCACCACCACCGAGGCGGAGACGCATGCAAGCAGGATGACAACAAGTGCGAGCCCAACACAGCGACGCATTTCTTAAAGAGCTTCGAAGTATGTCAACCTTTGCTAGAAAAGAAAACTGCAAACTGAAAGAAATATGGCGTGCCGGTATTTTAGTATTGGTAGCCGCCTGTAATCCTGATTAGACGTTTACGACAAACGTCTACCAACAAAAAAGATTACCATCGATCGACTTTTTCGACGCATGAAAAAGAAAGGTATGAAAGGATGATCTACTTCAGGGGCGAGCGAAACGTGCTTACAATGTACACTACAGCAGGACGATGCGATACCAGTGTTGGGATTGCATGTTCCAGCTCAATTTCAGGTAAGAGATTTTGATTGTCTTAAATGAAAACAATTTGCATTCTATCGATGAACCGCTTCTTTTTATCTTTTCAACATCCGTGGCGGTTCGTTGCAGAGGGCCTGCTTATTAGTTCTGACTGCGGAGTTTTATAGTTGTCTGTTCACTAGTAGTATTCTTCATACTGGAGTATTTTTTTTTACCCCAGTTTAGTAACGCTGACAATGTGTATGTCCCGAAAGGACCAACGTAATGCCAAGATTGAGGCTACAGTACCTCCGATTCAATTATATTGAAACAATGAAGCACTAGTAATCAGGTTTTATGAGTATGTTTCTCCAGAAAGTAAGAAGGGTCATCTTCTTAACCCACGAAATGACACCCGACGTAACCTTGTAGTTGATGAACTGACTCGCTGCGAACGAGAATAAACCTCGGTCCTAATCACCCGAAGCAGAATCCGGCTTGTCCAGTTCAGTAAAGTCGAAGACATCCGAAGAACTGGAAGCAGCGGTAGAAACTTCGTGGAGGGAGTCCTTATCAATGATGATCACCATTTTGCCGGTGATATTGCCGTATATGAAAGGCACGCTTTTGACGAAGATGTCGTCGGGTATTTCAGCCGATAGCTTGCTTTTGGCGACTGCATCGTGGGTGGTTGTGGCAGCAATGTCGTTGCTGCTCGCGAGAAGAACGATGGTAGCCGACAACAGGAATTGAATCACACGCATCTTGCTTGTACTCCCAGTCTTCAGCAAGTTGATGAATGAAAACTCTGAATGAAGGAGCGATATTCCCTGTTCTGGCATTTCTGTAAAAAAAAAAAAAGAAAGAGGGGGTATCTAGTTGTTGGGATTACCAGTTCAATGCTAACATAATACTGGCAAGAGCTTTGATTATGCTATTTAAGTACTTTCGATTCTCAACTTCTTTTTTTCTCTCGCATTAACATTACAAAGCCAAAGATATCAACACCCACCTTCCTTTTCTGGCACAATATATACCCCAGGAGAGGCCATGCTACACATTTATACATCACAATGGAGCATCCAAGATGTTACGTCTTCGACAAAGCCTCATCCACATATAGTGCGCGGCACGCAAGCGTGAATCTCTTCGAGGGATTGCGTCGATTTGCTAGTATTCCTGCAACTTAGTCCAACACGATAAGGGGATAGGCTCTGGGTTTGTTTTTAACTTGAAAGCTACACTAACCAGCGTTCGAAGAGATCCTTTGACAACGCCAATTGAAGGTCCCTACTTCCAGTGTTCGTCCCTAATTGGTAGTACGTCTCAAAAAAAAGTTGTAGCGTACCACCGGTATACATAAGTATATAACGGAGTTGCCACTTTGCGAATAATTTCATCAACCAAACTCACTTGTCAAATTCGCTTGTTCGATTATCGAAACGACGAATTTTAGTTGACCGTACGTCAACTCAAGCATTTCCATATTTCCCTGCCTGTTCAACATGAACCCTTTGGTTCTCTTCTTGGGTCAATAAAACACATTTGAATTTGCACCAGCAAAGAGATGAAGCTTCTGCTAACCGTCACTGCCGCGATTCTATTGGTGAAGATATCGACGGCATTGCATCGCAAGTTGCGGATCGCTCGCGGTCTGGCACCACTAAGCGGACCATCGGGCGTTTGGTTATTGGGAAATATGCCGGCATACATCAAGAACCGTCGTCGTATCTACCACTTCTTGGTAAGGACGCATCCAGTTCTCTTCTATTCGTAACTCTCACGTTCTTTATTTTCTTTCGTGTTAGGAGGAGCTGCTGAAGCAGCACGGGGGTAGGATGAAGATGCCGTGGCACCTATTCTTCGACGGGGCCATCTACGTAAGCAAGTCATAGTTAGAAATGCTGGAATAATTCTAATGATTCTAATGATATTGGTTCTGGGAACAGATCACGGATCCCAAAGACGTTCAGCACATTTTATCGACCAATGTCAGCAACTACGTGAAGCCACAAGGATTCCTGGACGCATTTCAGGAGGTCTTTGCGAACTCGTTTTTTGCTATGAACCACCACGCTCAAGCACCTGATGGAGGAGCTGGCTGGCGGCTACAGCGCAAGGTGGCTGCCAAGGTGTTCACTACCGCCAATTTCCGTGTGTTTACCGAAAAAATCTTTGCACGTCATGCAGAGGAGACACTCAATGCTGCACAAACTGAATCATTCAAGGCTGCAGCACGAGATGGAAACCAATCCGCTGACGGAAGCTTCTGCTGCGATATACAAGAGATCAGTGCGAGATACACTTTGCAGTCCATCTTCGACGTCGCGTTTGGTCTGCCGTTGAGCGACGTCGCGATTGCAGAAGATTTTGCCAAGCACATGAGCTTCGTCAACGAGCACTGTGCAGAGCGGTTGTTTGTGAAGCAATACTATAAAGTTCTTCGTTGGATTATGCCAAGTGAGCGAGAGCTCCGGTGGAGTACACGCGAGATTCGAGCAGTGGCTGATGCTGTTTTGCTTCGACGTCTGGGAGAATCCGAAGCAGAAATCAAGGCTCGATCAGATCTGTTGTCACTGTTTATATGCAAGTCTCGAGAGCTTGCCGCTAACGATCAATGTGGAACGGACGCTTCATCATTATTGGGACCCGAGACTCTCCGATCCATCATCTTGACGTTCGTCTTTGCTGGTCGAGATACGACGGCTGAATGCCTCACATACAGCTTTTACGCCATCGCTAGACACCCGAAAGTTCAGAAACGAATTGCCGAGGAGCTCGAGACTGCAATATCAAGCACCTCAACACCATTCACGTTCGAAGATGTGAAAAACATGAAATATCTCGAAGCTGTAGTTTATGAAGCGGTGCGGTTGTATCCAGCACTCCCATATAACGTTAAAAGCGCGGTCAAGGACGACTACCTGCCTGATGGCACCTTCGTGCCTGCAGGTGTTGACATCGTCTACAGTCCGTGGTTTATGGGGCGCAATGGCGCGTTTTGGGGTGACAACCCGTTAGAGTTCCGTCCCGAACGCTGGTTGGAGATGACCAAGCGTCCCAGTGCGTTCGAGTTTCCAGCTTTTCAAGCTGGCCCACGTATATGCCTCGGTATGAACATGGCCGTACTGGAAGCTAAGCTCTTCCTCGCCACCACGCTGCGCCGTTTCCACATTGCAATTGCACCTGGAGAGAAGCACGATCGTGGTTATGTGTTGAAGTCGGGTCTCTTCATGGACGGTGGACTACCGCTACAACTGACCCCACGACCCCAGCGCGCGGCATCAGCGTAGAGTAGTAGAAAGTCAGCACAGTAGCGTCGACAAGAACGGCTAGCGATGTCAGTAGGCAGATAGCTTTCGTCTTGGTCAATGGAAATCCCATTACTTCAAGTATGGAATTATTTATTCACTGATGGCCGATCGCCTTTGATTGCAACATTTCTATTTGTGTGAGCTGATCAGGCATGAGGTAACTCGAATGTTGATCCAGTTGTAAGAATGTTGTAAGAATGTTGCGCGAAGATTTCGGCGGTGGAGGGCCGCTCATTACAGCAGACTTGAGACGAATATGCCGTACCAAGTGCTGCCCGGCCTCGTGGTCATCTCCGTCGCCTTCTCGCTCATGGGCGTGGGCTTCGGCGCCGTCAACAAGTGGCAGGCCCGCAACAACATGCAGGTGCGTTCCACCGCCTTCCACGCTATCGGAAGAAGAGCGATGTCTAACAATAACTATGTATCTGCTATTCGGGAGTGCAGAGCAAGCTGGAGCTGCTGACGGACTGGGACCGCATGATGGACGAGCGCGACCGCAAATTAGCAGCCAGAGCGGCGGCGTTTAATGCGAAACAATAGCAGAACATCGCCGTATGAGGAGCGACCTCGACAGTGTTAAACGAGCGTCGCACACGACGATGCCGGATGCTGGATGACACCTCCTCTTTTAGCGACTTCGGGTGTTCAACTGGCTTCGACGCTCTACTGGCTTCACCGCTCTAGGGAGGAAGTGAAGTACTTGAACAAACAGAAAAAGTAAGCAGCAAACAGGAGAGCAGCGCACGCTCCACGATTTCGAGATGTAGTTGGTTATATACCCGCGTTCCACAGCTTATGACGATGAGTCTTCGGGTTTTCTTGAACTCGTGATACATGAAATAGACCCCTCACTACGTAGAAGCTGTCGTCTAGTGTTGACGCATATGACAAGCAGGTTTGCCGGTCTTTGGTTCTCTGCTTCATGACGAAGTTCATCTGTTCACTTGCAACTCACTTGGTATCTGCCATCGTGAATCTCGGCGCCAGTACACTCAGGCCGAACCTGTTTCAGTCAGGTTCAGCTCACAGAAAGATCGCATTGATTTAAGCAGCAGCGTCCTGTATGATGCCTGTGGGGCCAAGTAGCACTGGGTGTTTTGTGTTTTTGTCGACATGTTAGTTTAGTTAATAAGAAATCCGAGCACTGCCGCAGTCCGTGCGGTGACTCCACTAGTTGAAGCCAGGACGCGGTGCCGCACAGAACTCCTTCTCTCTCTCGCACCTTCACTACGTGTCTCGCCACCACGAAAGGCCGAAGATCTCATCGGGGAAATACTAGTACAAAGCGGGCAGTTCCGCGCGTCGTCACACATCTATACCCTCTCCTTTCTCGCTCACTCCCTTCCCTCCTCTCTCGCAGTTGGATCCTTCACGGCGACGGGTGCTTATGCCTTGGCTCCAGGGCAGTTACGGGCCCAGTGGCCGGTCTCTCCGCACTGATAGCACTTGTCCTCGCTCGGGCCGCTGTCGTCGGGGCAGTCGCGACGCAGGTGGCCCGACTGGCCGCAGTGGTGGCATTTGCGCGACTCGCGCAGCTCCTGTGGGCAGTCACGACGCAGGTGGCCGGTCTCGCCGCAGTTGTGGCACTTGGGCGGCTGCGCCTCCTCGGGGCAGTCGCGACGGATGTGGCCCACCTGGCCGCAGTTGTGGCAGGCACGGCCGCCGGCGCTCGTGGGGCAGTCGCGCTTGAGGTGACCGACCTTGCCACAGCCGAAGCAGGCAGCGCCGCTGTTGTAGCCACCGAAGCCGCCCTCCTGGGACGGTGCCTCAGGGCAGTCACGGCGGAGGTGGCCCGCCTGGCCGCAGTTGTGGCATTTGCGCTGGTCAGCTCCCGTCGTCTCCATACTCGTCTCTAGATATAACAAAAGATACGCCGTATCGCGGTCAGTTGCTTGTCCAGAATAGCAGCAGCAGGGCCAGCGACCGGGCCACTTCAAGGCCGGAGCCGCAGCTAGTCAGGCCGCCTCCACATCCCCGTCATTCATCCACCAAAGCTCACCTCTTGTCTCCGATTCTTCCGCAGAAATGACACGCGAAGAGCTCCAGGCCGAGCCAAGAGTCCTCCACGTCCGCCCCCGCGATTGGTCGCTGGGGCCTGAGGTTTTATGTTTTGAAACGGATGTGGATTGGGAGATAATATGGCGGACCTTGGGGAGGGATGACCCGTCCGATGCAGAAGCATTCGCTCTTAAGGTTTTACAGGCGTTGGACGACTGGGCTTCGCGTGGGCTTCGATGTCACTGTCGATGAGTCAACATCTTCCTGCACGCCTTGTTTCTCACACTTGGCCTAGTCGATCTGCAGGTGCGCAGCTCCCTGTAGTGTAGGCTCCGAGATGATAGCGATTTTCGCGGCACCAAGTCGGGTCAAAGAAACGGCACTGAACATGGAGCCAAGATGTCGCCCCGCCTCGCGCGGCCTTTGGGATCCGAGGTTTTATCCTTCCATTGGTCACAATCAACGTCAATTTCCAGCCAATCCAACGGCGGATCACTGGATCTTCAACTTGGTCAGCATTGCACGACGACGAGTGCGGAACATGGCTGCAACACCGGACTGAGCCAGGACGCCGCCCGCTGCGAGACCCACAGGTGACCACGACGTGTTGCACAGCCATCCCAGCCCTCGATCGACCCACTGGCGCAGCTTCGAGGCCTCGTTGGTCTCAGATGAGAGCCTGGCACCAGTAGACGGCCAATGATGCTCCACGAACGCAGTGAGAGACGGATTCCCGCGTTCCAGAGCTGGCAAGTATTCTTTTACAAAGGTTCTGGTCCACCACTGCGTGTCGTTATAGTTTAGGATCTTGGCTGTGGGCAGCGCTTGGTTCCACGACGTGTTCAACCTCGTAAAGTCATAGTAGTAGAGTTGTGCACGAATAGCGTCCGGTGGAGCATCAGGAAACGGGTCACGCGTCGTATCGAGGAGTTCTTTCACGTCACGAGAGCCTTCAAGAAGCTTAGCCACGAGATTCACGAGCCACGGAGCGCTGTGGTAGTCACCCAGTGCGGCAAACCACATTTGCCAGTCCAGTCGAGGCTGGAATGGAGCTATCAGCCGCGGAGCGGAACTCAAATCGCCGGGCTTGTACTTGAAATGATAGGATTTCCACGTCAATCCGCCGTCTTCTGTGCCCTCTAAAATGATCTCTGGTCGGGCAACAACGGAAACATGCTGCTCATTGGCCATTTTTACCGTTCCCACGCCAGTCATGGTACGAAACAAGCCATAAGCACTGGTGATACGGTACTTCTCGGTCGAATAATACGTGGAGATAGCAAACGAAGGCAACGACTGCTGGAACGACTGATCCAGCACCGAAAGAGTGACCACACTGCTCGTAAACACCCACAAACTTGCGACTGTTGCTGTCAGGAGGTAAATTAGCCGCAGGACGAGTAGTTTCCTGGTCGTAGAACTGTGCCCCGAGTGTGAGAAGGAACGCACAACTTGCCTACAGCTCGAACACACAACCAAGACAGCGGAGAACAGCGTGCAACGGGGGAGAATCAGTGCTAGCCATACCTGGATATCTCCCACAGTTGGTAACAGTCGGATCCTCGTAGCTAGCAGTAGTTCTAGAAAACTGTGGGTCTGTTTCCTGTCCTGAATCGTCAGTTCAAAAGCGTCCAGCCACGTGTACACGCAGAAGAAGAGACCGCAACCGAGCATCGCCTTCGCGGCCAGTGGATGTGTCTGGAATGTGTACCACGCCGACTCCACTCGAGTTATCCACGACTTTCGTTGATTTGACGTATCACTCCCGCAATCTTTTGCTCCATTGTCGATATCCAGAAGAACTGCTGCTAAAATGATGGTCAGCAGGTTGAAAAAATTGTAGTTTCCCGTGAGGAGGATGGAAATTTGCAGCACGATCTGCTGAATGGCACCGATTCTTCGCAACGTGGGGTGAGGCGCGATTAGGAAGAATGTCCACGGGCCTTCGATCAGCAGTGTGACTGCTACAGCTAGACGATTGATGATCGGCTAAATCGTATACACCAAGTCAGATGAGAAAACAAATTACGTCGTATCAAGAGCACTTACCGGAGCTTGCAACGCGTACCAACTGAGAGGCAAAGGAAGAGGCTGTGTGGCGAAGTGGAAGTCCAACGCCGTGAGTCCAAGCCAAGTAGGGCAGCGCGATTGGATCTTGACGGCACCGGACATGAGCATGAACTTGAAGAACAGAAAGCGCAGAGTCCACACGGCGGCTGCTGGTGTCTCGAAGGTGTCATCTGGCTTGCCGCGGTGCCACCACGGAGCCATTAGGACGGCCAGAACGCCGATCTCCAGCAGGAACGAGTCCCATTGGAACTGCATGAACGTCTGACCGCACTTCACGATGGATAAGTAGCATATCCACAAGAGCGTCAGGGGTCCTGTAGTACGCCATGCCGGCTGTACCATGCCCAGCAGTGCAATGGTGACTCCTGCGAGACAAATCACCTCCATGCAGAAGCTCGGGGTCCATTGAAATGGCTCGTGTAGCCATACGAGCGTCGGGAATTTATCGGCGATCCACTCGAAAGTCGATACGCCGTGCGATTCTGATGCGTTTCCAACCTTTACGCTGCGCAGATAGACGTCCACGGGTTGGATACCATTCCTATGAGCAAATATTACAAACACACATGAGCAAGAACAGGAGGAGCTAGCAGCGAGTTCACGTACTCGCCATAGAGGCCGCGCACTTGAGTTCGGATGGAAGCGAAGGCCAAAGCGTACACCGTGCAAATGCAAATGAGGAAAAACTCTCTCGGGAAGCGCAGCATGGTCGCCGTCGGCCACACTTCTTCAGGGCAGACGCCGTCGGATACGCCGTCGGAAAAAGCTTCGGTTCTTGAACCGGTAAGAGGAAGTTTTATGGTGTGGACTACACGTTTTGGTGAGAATTAGAAATGACCGTGACCATTATTTTTAAATAGTTGCATAAAATGTTTTAAAAACATTTTTACAACTTTTTACAGAAATGACCAAATGAACATTTTATTTTAAATAATGATCATACGTTTTAAGAAATGATCAAATGATCATTTTTAAATATTATGTTCATGTGATCATTTCGTAAAAGATTGCGTAAAAGTGTTTGTGGCGTACTGCTTGTGAGCCACATGGATTATATGTTTGTTAAGATTTAAACTATGTAGACTTACCCCCAAAAGGTGGAAAAAAATGGTAAATGTTGCGCTTTTGTTGGTATCACTGCTTTTAAAAATGATTGAAATATATTTTTAAATGAGAACAATTAATACTATTTATTTTTATTTCTTAAAAAAGAAGCTTTTGATCAAAAATCTGGCAGTTCGTAAAATGTTTCTATTTCTGCTTTCTTTGAAGTCAAGAAAAGCAAACTGTTTCTATCGCTTTCTTTTTAGAAGTTCTCATGTTTTAGTACCATGGTATCGTCTTCAAATCGGTTTGTCGGTTTGTTATGAAGACGCTTAAGCCCGCTCCGCCTGTCATCGCTCGCCAGAAACCAAATCCACCGCTCTAGTGAGGCAATTGGGATGGCAGCTATAGTAAACTCCCAACTGGCAAAGCTTCTGGCCGCCTTCAGCTCTGCACCAATTGGTTGGAGCAATCGTTCTAGATGAAGTGGAGGAAGCCAAAGCGTCATTAATACCGAAGTTCAGCCAGGGTGACGAAGCTACAAGATTAGGCATGTCGGGATGTATGTGAACGTGGTCATAGCGGCGACCATGCTGAAATGCATGCTGGAATACATGCAGCCCGGCTGCAAAATTTCTCAACAACAACAGTGCGGCTACCATGTGAAACGGTAGAAATAACTCGGCCATCTCGAATAGTAGTTGAAATGGTCGGGTTCAGCTAGCACAGACAGTGAACACTTGCCTTTCATAATTGCCGGATTCGAGTTCTTTGGCTATGTTGTCCATGTTTAAGACCAGGTTTCGTGTGGAGTAACTTGGGGAATTGATACATGCTGGTGTCAACACCGTCGGGTGCGCCGAGCGAGCATTCATTACAGTAGTACCGCGATTGTTGCAGGGTGAAAGGAAGACCGTCACATTACATGCTCACAGAGCATTGTACAGTCCCGGGTTCTGGCGGGGCACAAGACATGCGATCTCCACCACTCTGCAAACTCACCAATATTCACAAGCTGATCTGGTGTATGCAGTTCAGTCTGCAATTACTAACTTTTTCACACTTTTTCTCATTATTTTGCTCGTTAAAGAGATCTAGAGTGCGTTGCTGATCAACACAACCTAGTCGCCTACCCGATACTAACTTACAGCTTGGGGCCGAACTTGGAGTAGTCCGTGACGCCGGGAGACACGTACTTCTTGAAGTTCTCCTGGAACATACCGGCCAGCTTCTTGGCCGTGACGTCGTAGGCCTCCTTGTCACTCCAGGCCTCACGCGGGTTCAGCACGTTCTCGGGGATTTCGCCGAGCTTCTTGGGCACCGAGAAGCCAAAGTTGGGGTCCTCGGAGAACTCCGAGTTCTTGATGGAGCCGTCCAGGATGGCGTCAATACAGGCGCGCGTGTCCTTGATGCTCATGCGCTTGCCCACGCCGTAGCCGCCACTGGTCCAGCCGGTGTTGACCAGGTAGACCGACGTGTTGTGCTTCTGCAGCTTCTTCTGCAGCAGGTCGGCGTACTTGGTCGGGTGCAGGGGCAGGAAGGCAGCACCGAAGCAGGCGCTGAAGGTGGCGGTGGGCTCCGTCACGCCACGCTCCGTACCGGCGACCTTGGCCGTGTAACCGGACAGGAAGTGGTACATGGCCTGGCCGTCGCTCAGCTTGGACACGGGCGGCAAGACACCGTAGGCGTCGCACGTGAGGAAGACAATGTTGGACGGGTGGCCGCCGCTCGAGGTGGGCTCGTGGTTGGGGATGTGGTAGATCGGGTAGGACACACGGCCGTTCTCCGTCTTGGACGTGTTGTAGAAGTCGGGCTCCTTGGTCTCCGAGTCCACGAACGTGTTCTCCAGCAGAGCATCGCGCTTAATGGCGTTGTAGATGTCCGGCTCGTTCTCAGCGCTCAGGTTGATGGTCTTAGCGTAGCAGCCACCTTCAAAGTTGAAGATTCCATCATCGTCCCAGCCGTGCTCGTCGTCTCCGATGAGGTAACGCTGCGGGTCGGCCGACAGGGTGGTCTTACCCGTGCCCGACAGACCGAAGAAGAGGGCGGTGTCGCCGTTCTTGCCCTTGTTGGCCGAGCAGTGCATGGCCATGATGCCGTCGAGCGGCAGCCAGTAGTTCATCATGGAGAAGATGCCCTTCTTCATCTCACCGCCGTACCACGTGCCGCCAATGACAGCCACATCCTTCTCAATGTTGAAGGCCACAAACACCTCCGAGTTGAGGCCGTGCTTCTTGTAGTCCTTGTTCGTGACCTTGCAGGCGTTCACAATGGTGAAGTCCGGCTTGAAGTCGGCGATCTCCTCCTTGGTCTGAGGACGCAGGAACATGTTGGTCACGAAGTGGTGCTGCCACGCGAGCTCCGTGATAAAGCGCACTTTCTTGCGCGACGCTGGGTTGGCGCCGGCGTAGCCGTCGAACACGTACACCTTCTCGGCCTGGCCGTAGTGCTCGGTCACGGTCTCGTACAGCTCGTCGAACACCTCGGGGCTCACGGGCTGGTTGATGTCGCCCCACCAAATGTTCTTGTTGGACGGAGCCTGGTCCACAATGAACTTGTCCTTGGGCGAGCGGCCCGTGAACTTGCCCGTGTCGATCGTGTACGTGCCGTTCTTGACGAACTGGCCCTCGCCGTTCTTCTCCTCGTGGGCGGCGATCTCGTCGTAGCTCAGGTTGCGGTGCACCTGGGTCTTGGCGTTCGTCACGCCGAACTTCTCAATGCCCAGCGACGCAGCAGTCGCGTTGGCGAACGTGCGCAGGGCAAAAGACGACGAGAAAGCGGGCGAAGACTGCGCCATCTTCATGGCTCCGAGGCGCTGCACGCGCAGGCTCGCACGCAGGGCAGACGTGAACATGGTGCGGGTCTCGAGGGGCTTCTAGGACGGAGGCGAATTGAGATGTGAGCGTAGAAAGATATAAGGTCGCTTCGCATTTTGGTGCTGACGTTGTGGGGATCACGAATGGAGGATGGGGATTGGCGGATAAAGGACGCACCATTTGGTCCAATCTGAGCCCTACTCCCGAAAACCTTTTTTGGCCAATGGAAACACGTGAGATGCAGAAACACGCGCGCTGCTTGGATTTGATTGGTCAAACATGGCCTGTCGTTTGCTCACGACGGGATACTTCAACCAAATTGCGCGTACGTGGCCGGGCAGAGCCCTGCTGCTGGCCACCAGTGCCGTCGTGTTCGGCGGCGCGAAACATCGGCGCGTCACGCAGCGAGCGTCTTGCATTGCAGTTCCCCTTTCAGCAAAGCGTATGATCGGACAACAACTGGAAGGCAGCGTCCGGCTTGCCAGCGACAGCGCGCTGGTGCCTCAACTCGTTGGCTGAGCGGTCAGCATGCCGGCAGGCGCCATTGTCAGTGCCACTTGTGACGCGCTTCTATCACGAGGAAATAGCAATCGAGAGAGCAGAGCGGATTTGCACCTCTTCAACTGCAGGAGTGTCGATACATTTTGATAGTATCGCCAGCTCCGTCACATGTGGAGACCCAGCGTCCGCACTCGAGCCGGTTGAAGACCTTCACTGCCGCGCTCACCGCATGAGTTTCCAGTGGGTCTGCAGCGAGCAAGAACCCAGCAAGACAACGTTGCAGACAGCCCAGCCTTACCACTTGTTAAAGGGGGGACACTTGTGGATACCGCACCGCCGCACACAGACGATGACCACAGTGCAGACGTAAAGATACGCTCGCGAGCAGCACGCCAAGCACCAAGAGATTGTTCCTGTTCGACGCACCGAGCTGGGCTGCACTGCGCAGTGTCCGCCGCAAGCGGGTAATCAGGCTGATTGCTATTGTGGAACCCGTCGATGGGCTGCCCTGCTGATTTTTCCAGATCCGGACACCATAATCTACCGCTGCAGTCCGCTATCATCAAGGCATTTGCCTCAGATTCCAGGCTCTAGGATCTAGTCTAGGCAGATTGCTTGCAGAGCACGGCTTCGCTGGTGTAGTGACTGCGGCGTCATCATGAGCAAGTGCACAAGAAACACCAACCAGCCCCACCAACATGCGGACTGAGCGAATACGTCCACCGGTTGACAATTTTTGCAAGCACAGCGCGATTGTTCGGTGTGGTAATACCAACGACGTTGATATAAGTCCCAATTGGATCGTTGTAAAGCAAAGTGTTCTTCTGCATGTGGTGTTATACAGCGTAGCCGTGATGACTTTGCTTTCTGAATACCCTCCAAAGCACCCAGATATACCTGTCAACAAATGAATGAAGACCTCTTAGTAGTGCTGCTGCAACACGAACACCGTACGTCTACATGTACTACCTTATGATATAGTAGTAGTTGAGGTGTCGCTATGACGATAGATTGGCATCACCAGCAGCAAGTTTCCAATAAAATATATTCTGTACAACTCTATCAGGCAGTTCACTGCTCTGTTTTCCCCTTCTCGTCATGGCTAACTGCTTTAATGCGCTTTGCTTGCTCGCCGACTTGGTTTATACCAAGTGCGCGTTCAAGAATCCCTGCAGATTTCCGCTCTCGTCGCTTGGGTGGCTTCGGATTATCATGGATGCTTTCAATGTGGTGTTTCAGTACCGTCTTGTAGCCGAACCGTGCCGTACAACCCTCACGCGGACACGCAAAACGCTTCGATTTGCGTTTGTCATGCACTGCGTTATAGTGCGTCATCAGGTTTGATTTTCGCGTGTAAGACTTGTTACAACCGTCCATCGGACAGGTATACTGCTTGCGATCATCCAAAGACTCGAAATGAGTGCGAAGATGCGCACGCAGATACTGCTTTCGCGAGAAAGTCTGGTCGCACACAAGGCACAAATGCGCTGGCGTTTCCTTAGCCTCTGCATCCACATCGTCTTCTGCTTCCTCTTTACCGTGCTCCGTTTGCTTGTGGGTATTAAGTTCTTCTTCGTCGAAGCATATTTCGCCGCAATCGCAGACGAACACTTGGGTGTCTGCATCTTTATTAGCTTCATGCTTTCTCTGATGTCGCGTTAGCCAAAACCTTTTGAGAAAACGTTCGCCACACTCCTCACACTCGAAAGGCAATACACCAGTGTGAACGTACGAATGAGCTTGAAGCTCGCTCTTCTTCTTGAACCCCTTTAGACACTCACTGCATTCAAATGGTAGATTGACGTTCCGATGCGAGCGCTTGATATGTCTCGTCAAGCCATGATTATAGGTGAATCTGGCCTGGCAAAGCTCGCACTTGTATGGCTTACGCTCCTCCAGCGACTGGGTCGAACCTCGAATGTGGACTGTTTCAACGTGACGCGTCAGATGCTCTCGCTTCGAGTAGTACTTATCGCAGCCTTGATGTTGACAAGCGAACGGCCGATGCCGCGTGCTTTGGCTGTGTGCGACCAGCTCCGTTGATAGCAGGAATTGCTCGCCACATTCTGCACAATTGAGATGGACGGAGTGTGCGTTGCTCTCCTCAAAGTGGTCGTCATCGCACTTGACAAGGTTATCGGTGCTTTCGTCTTCGCTTGTCATTGTCACACCCGCTGCACCATTTTCGCCTGGAGTTTTACACACTTCGATAGCTACGTCTGAAGTTTCATCTAGACGTCGACGCTTGGTTGGTCTCGGCGAAGAGGCCGAAGGAGCCGCAGGCTCCGACGGGAGCAGCACCCGCACCGCTGCTGACATGGCGGGACCAAACCACTGGTGCTGACGTTTGCCACATAAATTATGCTATTCATGGTGTGGGTCACATCAAGATAAATCGTTTATCCGCCAATCAAATTGCGTTTAGTTTCAGCGAATCAGATAACACCGAAACTCCTGATGTTGAAGCGACGTCCATTTCGGTACATGTAGGTCATAACCGTCCAAGGTGTCGTCGTACTCGTCGCATTCCTCGTGCAACGAGGTGCTGCATTTCGCTGTTTGCACACGATGTTCAAGAACACGTTCCAGTCGGGCTTCCTGTCCATTCTCTACAGCATCGGGTAAGTATATGCCAACTCTTGCTCCTCTCAAAACATAGAGTCTCATCGATCCTGTGTATATGTGCCAATTGCAGGAGCAAGCCACTACAGATTTGGGACAAACAGGTGCGCAATGGCCACATCAAGCGTATCACGGACCAGGACATCCAGTCGTCAGTGCTGGAGATCATGGGTACGAACGTCAGCACCAACTTCATCACGTGCCCGGCTCAACCGGCCAAGACACTGGGTATCAAGCTGCCGTTCCTCGTCATGATCATCAAGAACCTCAAAAAGTACTTCACTTTTGAGGTCCAGGTGCTGGACGACAAGAATGTGCGCCGTCGCTTTCGAGCGAGCAACTATCAGAGCTCAACGAGAGTCAAACCCTTCATCTGTACCATGCCGATGCGTCTAGATGAAGGTTGGAACCAGATCCAGTTCAATCTCTCGGACTTTACACGCCGTGCGTACGGTACGAACTACATCGAGACACTGCGTGTGCAAATTCACGCCAACTGCCGCATCCGTCGCATCTACTTCTCCGACCGCCTCTATTCCGAGGAGGAGCTGCCGCCTGAGTTTAAGCTGTTCCTGCCAGTGCCAAAGGCCAACAACGCCACATCCAACGAGCAGCAGAAGGTCGCTTCACCAGCAGAGCAGTTTATGTAGGCACGTAGGCTATTATTCAGGTAAATGATTTGGAGGTAGCTTCACCAAACTCCACCTCATCAGTTTACCCTGGACCTTAATCTATACCCTTCATTTCATCTTGTGCTTACTTTAGTACACTACTTAGATTTAAGGCTAATGACTGCCTAAAATGTCAGTTTGAATGCAATATATTGGTTATCAAAGCTCTAGCTACTGTCATGTAGAAGCGTTTGTGGTTGGTTTGCTGTGCATTGGAGCTGGCTCACTTCCGGGATTTACCCTTAGCAAACTGATCGGCAAGCCACTCGATGCCTTCTTCGACTCCACGGCCTGTAACCGCGTTGCTTGCACTGCGTAGGAATACCACATTTCTAGTTACTTCGCGACAAATTGACAAAAAAATACAAACTATAAAAACTGTGCAATTGCGCTCACTTACGTAATGTGCCAGGACTTGCTTCCAAGACTGTCGAGTTCTAGGTGTTGCATACACTCGACGGGCGTGAGTGAATTAGGCAGATCCATCTTGTTGGCGAAAAAGAGAATTGGGACTTTTTTGGACGACAGTTCCTTGTGTTCCACGAGCTGCTCTAGCTCGTCTTTGGCCACACACATGCGGATGGTGTCAGTGGAGTCTAGCACGTAGATAATAGCCTGCACGTCGCTGTAGTAATTCTCCCACAAACTTCGATAGCGACTTTGACCGGACATGTCGAAAACAGTGAAGTTGAGATTGGACTTTGTAAATTCCTCAACCTGGAAGCCGATGGTGGGGACGACCTCACGAGATTGACTCTTCTTAGGCTTCAGATGATTCACAAGTGTCGTCTTGCCACTGTTATCCAGCCCTACAACGAGGATACGGACCTGCGTCTTCTTGATACCCAGAGCATTCGCTAACACCTTAAAGAGCCCCATCCTTTTAACTTGAGGCTCCTTCCTGCCTTGGTTTCGCAATTCAGCGTCCAGTGAATGAAAGAGATGTCTTTGAATAGCTCTTAGCGCAACCGTAGGAATTTCGCTCCCAAAACACAACTAACGCTCTAATTTTAGGAAACATAGTAACCAGATGAGAGTACTAACCAGATCATGAGACTATTAATGAGGAGTATTATAGCCGTTCAACTATGATATCAATATCATTGAAAATAATACTATTATCACTGCTATTAATAATGAGACTGAATTCCCAACAAAATACAATGCTCCAAACCTGAAGCATTTTGCGTTTTTTATCGTTGTTTCTTCACTTTCAACGCCTCTTTTGAGTGGAAACAATTTTTTTTGTGTTGATAGCGTGTCTTGTCAAATGGACTGTGGTTTTGGCGACATCTGAGTACAAGGTCGATCTCACCGTCCATGAGGCAAAGCACCACCGTCCTCTGCTTAATTCCAAAATCGTGTCTGGTCTGGGCAGGGGGTGACTTGTTATTTGTAGTGACATCAACCTGGCGAATCGGCAGATACGTGGGAGATTCAATCTAAGGCACCGAGTTTGAAATTTCTCCAGCAGAAAGCCATGGAGCAGATGCGATCTTGGTCAGAACACGAATTTCTACATGCCACAAGAGAGTAGAGCCAGAGCACTGGCCGTCTAGCAAGGTGGAGGGTGTCTCACACTGAAAAAACTCGAGGCTGCACTTACGCTATTTGAATGGCCGCTGATGTAATAGGGAAGATCACGTAAAAACTCAAAAACTCAAAAAAAAAAAAATAATAATAATACCCACTTTACATTTGGGCGATCAGCACCTTAGTCTTGTGTGTTACCACCACCAATAGCATACAAGGATACACGAGCGAGACAGATCGTTATTGAAGTTCACGATCTAGGTATTCGGCGGTATCTCGCATTTGACGGCTGCGGTGAGCGAGAACGCCTGAAGCACCCCATACAGTGCTGCCATAGCACAATAAGTCTGTGTGGGCACCATAGAAACTGGATACCACAACACTATGCTTGCCAGCACAGTTCCCAGCACAGTACAAGCTGACGCGCGGGAAACGCGCAAAAGGGGTGCGGATATGGGGTGAAACCGGTCGCTCTGTGGCGTCCAGCGTCGCACCAACCCATTTTTGTGTGACCCACATCATTTCCGAAAGCCGTCCACTGAGCAAGCATGCCGCGGGTGAGCTGGCAAGAGATCGCCGTGGATGTCGACGCCGCTGAGGCCGAGGCGGTGATGGCTAGGCTCAAGTTGTTCGACATCGACAAGAGCCAAGCTATGGGGTGCACGATCTGTCTGGGCGCCGATCACAAGATGAGATATCGCCTGCTGGAATGCAGCTCTCAGTCATGCGCCGAGGCGAGCCCGGTGAAGTGCGGTTAGCGGGGCAAGCTGGTCACATGCTTGAGTACCGAGCACGCGTCCATCTTCAGCACAACTCGCCCGCCGCCGACCCAGGGCGCAAGAAGCTCACGTGGCCCACAAGGCGTTCTGCCGGGATCTGACCCAGAACCACCTGCGCCCGATGCGCATCCGGCACGCGCTGGCACGCAAGTTTGCCACCTACCTAGAGGATCTCCCGCCGCTGAAGACTGTGCAAAATTTCGTGAATCATTACGACCGGGCGCAGATGGACAACCATGACCGCGTTCAGGATCTGACAGCTTGGATCCGTGAGCACGCGTACGACGGCTCGGAGCCCATGACTGAGCCCTTCACCTTCACGTGGGAGATGGACAACGCCGGCTTGCCGGTAGTCGGCAACGGCTCGGACAAGAGGCCCTTCCTGGTGGGGATCAGCACAAAAGCGCTGATGCTGCGACTTATGGTGCCCCCAGAGAGTTTCATCCTGCACCTGGATGGAACCTACAAGACCAATCAATGCGACTACCCCGTGCTGGTAGTCGGCGTGTCTGACCGCTCGCGCAGATTTCACTTGGTAGCGATATTCGTTATGTCGCAAGAGACACAACCCATGTTCCAGGCTGCGTTGCTGTCTCTTCGGCGCCTCTATTTTTGGATCGCTGAGGAGCATCTGACGGTCCACTACGCGATGGCGGACGGCGACAGAGCGCAGTGCAATGCTCTCACTGCAGTGTTCGGCGATAATCCGCGCTTCCGCTTCCTGATGTGTTTCTTTCATGTGATGAAGCACATTCAGGAGCGGGTTAAGCTGCTTTCCTCGGATGCCCAAGCTCGGGTGTTGCGTGAACTCTACGATCTGCACTTCGCGCGCAATCAAGGGCACTATATCGAGATGCTGCACGCAATTTGGAGGCGCTGGATGGCCGAGCCGACTTTAGTTCCGTTTGCTCAGTACTTCTACGGGCAATGGCTCACTGGTCACTTCACGGCGTGGCAGATGTTCACCACGCCAAGCGGGTTCGCTTCAACGAACAACCCGGCGGAGACATTCAAGTTGAAGCACGACTACACGCTGCGCCGGCGGACCAAAATGGGAACACTGATGCGCGAGTTGAGCGCCTGCTGCCAAGACCAGTCTAGTAGCGTCCGCGCATTCGAGTTCGCGGTGTGCCCAGCACCAACCCTCGCACGGAGGGTGTCCGAGATGGTGCGTGAAAGGTTGCTGGGCGTGGCCAAGACGTCGAATCTGTGCGCGCTGGATCCTGCTGCATTCTCCATGTGATATCACTGCCTGCTGCGCGCGTTCCCGTTGCACCGAATAAGCGCAGCGAGGAGGCGATCGCTGTGACCGCACAGATGGTCTCCAATTATGCAAGGAAGGAAGGAAGTGGAAGGTGAGCCTGTGGACGGGTGGGGAGTGGATGTCCAGCGTCAGTGGTGTCCCTGTGACTACTGGTTTGCTTTCGGAGCGTGCGTTCACGCGCTGTTCGCGCTCCGTGTCACCGCACACGTCGACAGCAGCGGCAGAGAAGTCCTCATTAGCCGTCGGAAGAGAAAGCGGGGCGAGGTTGCCGTTCTTCCAGACCTTGGACGCCCCAGGACGATTGAACTTGCGCTCAGTTTGGAGTGATCCAGCGCCTGCAAACCTTTGAACTACGGCGATATCCGTTCACGTGCATATCTACTTGCATACGTCTAGTGCAATACGTGTGAGGGATCTTCGAATAAATGTATATTTCTTATGGATAGCTCCAGCGTTCATACACGGCGAATAAAGGTGGCTTTCAAAGGTCATATTATCGAGTAAGCACTAGTGCTACGCAGTAGACGCGAGGACTTTCATCTGCCTACTCTTCTTCGCTACTCTCCTCCTGCCCCCTCTGGTCCTCCCAACATACGTCACACGCACACTTGAACCAGTGCTCGTCCCCGTAGTGGACGGTCACTTTCGCGCTAGCCTTCACGTTCTTGATCATCTTGACCAAGACGCGCACTCGGGAGCGGGTCTGCTGCTCCACGAATGCTGCATTCGGCTGGCATGCGTGCGACAAGAAGCGCGTTATCGACCCGCACCTCAGCGCATCCACGTAGACGTACTTGCCCCGCACAGACTTGGCGTTGTACAACATTGTGTAGCCGCTATTATGCTTGCGTGCTTGAGCCGGTTGACCTTCAACGGCGGCCGCAAACTCGGTCAGCTCCCCACAGTACTCTCGAATCACGTCGCCAACGTCCAGCGCCGTGGTGGTGTACACACCGAGACCGACCCGGCCGGTGTCGAACAACTTGAGCGTGTCCAGTGTCCGCGGAGCGTTGCTGCACGTCGCCCCAAGCTTGCAATACTTGGGGGTGCAGAACGACGCGGATGCTACGTTCGAGCACGTGTCCAAGAAGCAGCCCCCGAAGCATCTACAGCGGTCGACGCTCCCAATGTCGGGGAACTTTATTCTGTTGCGCTTGCACGTCGTGATTTGCTCCACTTCGACCGGCCACTGCACAGCGCGGCAGAGAGAGCGCCCCTTCTTGGATGAGGGCTCCTCGTACGACTTTCGCCGGGCGTGCAGCTTCTCCACCTCTTTCAACACCTCGGGGCTCTTCCTCGAACTTCGCGGGCTTGAACGCCTTCGCGTGGTAGATCACGTTCCCGATTCTCGTGATCGCGCGCTTGGCCAGGTGCCGGCGCTTCCGCGACCTGGGCACGTGCCACTGGGCCCGCTTCTTGGGGGCCTGGTGCCGGACCTTGCCGCGCGCGTGTCGGTTGGGGATGGCCCGCATGTAGGTTGCCGCCTTTAGGTCGCTGACGAAGCTTGGCTGGTCACCGGGTGAAGCCACCTGCAGCTCCCTATCCTCTTCGGAGGACACGAGGTTCACAATCTCGATCACGGACGACCGCACGAAACTTTCCTCGCTTGCATCACCGGCGTTATACGTGGGGGAAGCCCCTCCGCTGTCCGCTGGCGCTGAAATCGCGCTGCTGGGAGCGCTGGGCACTGGCACGTCCTTCAACCCGGACACCAGAACAGGGGAGCTGCATACGCTGCTCTGAGGTGTCTCTGGGACGATCTCGTCGCACTGGTCCTCTAGCGCCTCGCGGACAGCTTGGAAAGCGGCTGCGACCGCTCCTTCCAGCGCCGTTTTGAGCGCGCCGGCACGGTTTGGAGCCACGAAGGTCCCAGGAACCAGCTGGAAGGTCCGCAACTTGCGCCAAACACCAGCAACGGGCTTGCTGGACCGCGCCTTGATCAGCTTGACCATCATGTCGGTCGTCATGGCCTCGTTGGTGTCCACCGAGATCGGGAAGTTACCGCTGCCGCCGCCGTCAACACTGGTGACGACGGCGCGGCGAAACCCTCTGCTGCCCCCCCCCCCCACGAAAGCGCGCGAGAAGTACTCTATCACGTCGCCAGGGTGGAGCGCCTGCGGGGGCAGGAGACAAGTCCCGGACCAATCATCAGCCTATTTTAATTGGCGAGGTTGCCAGAAGTAGATTACATGTAGCAAGTTTATTTTAAATGCAATTATTAATAGATGTACGCTGTTAATACTGCCTTACAAAGAGAGTAAAAAAAGCGTTCCGCTCTACAACATGGCTGACACCGTGGACTTTGTTGGCGAACACAATTAGGTGATCTGTCAGCGAACTGGTGCAGGTAGAATCAGAAGGTGCTCCAATTAGAGCTCTTGGTAAGCACAACAAGACCAACGAAGACGTAAATATCGCTCCCAGTTAGTGTACGATGCAGTAACTTGACTGCGAAGTACACTACCTGGGACATCAACGCGCTTTCCACGTGTAGCAGTAGTCACTGTGCTATTATTGGCATGTGGAAAGTACGTTAAAGGTCAATCATACGTTTTGCAACTTCCTCAAGTATGCACAACGAGCGGTACCGTACAGTGGTATCTTGGCATTTGCTTTCATATTGCGGCTGCATTTAACGCCCATTTGGTCGACGACTTTTTAGTTGGCATTTGACACGATGCGCCTGGAAGAAAATTTGGATGGACACCCCGGGCGATAAAGGACCCACAACGAAGTGTTCTGATTGGCTAGGGAAGAGATATCCAGAACGACGAGAGCCAA